TTGAAACAGAAAGCGGCATGCACTCACTCTGAAATTATTCTGGTGAATGGAGGGTACGGCGGCAATGAACACCACCCTGGAAAGTTGCACTCGCCGATCTCATAACAATGCATTAGCAGCCGAGCAAGATGAAATGCTTTCGTGCTTCGTTTCAGACATACGTAGAAACAGTTACACTCGCGCTGACATGACCAGACAAACCACACTTTGAGAACGTGAATGACGTACGCGCACATAGAAACACGACGTGGCTAGCAGACGGAGCAATCCACACTTCACCGTTTTGGCCAGCTGCCGCCAGGCAGCGACTCTGTTTGATCTCGCGGCCAATAGGCGGACGATATCTTCCACCACACCTGCGGTCGGACCGAGCAAGCTTTATTTTTCGATTCAAAGCTGCTTGTGATGGAGTTCAATCCTGTGTGCGCATGTGCAGCAGCTGACCCAAGCACTGCCAGAACGTGCTCACGCACTAGCGCGTCCCGGCCTGTGTAAGGGGCTGGATAGGACGGCCGTGGCCTCTCCCCTTTAAACTCTCCAGCGATCATGTGATGGCATCGGGGAACGAGATTCTGCATGCGTGCGAGTGAGAGAGAGATATATGTTAATGAACGAAGAAGAGATCAAAAGATCGCCATTTTCTGCCTCCCGTCGTGGAGAACGGCCAGCTTAGCACCTTTAGAGAGTTGGAAGTAAAGATGATAGGAAGAGAAGAGAGAAAGAAAAGCTTGACAGGGCATGACAAGAGAACGTCTTGTCAGAACAGCCCGTGCGATGAACAAAGGCGTTGTATTTGGTTGTATCCTAGTCATTACGCGCTGGCACGCTGCAAGCGCGTTCGCACTGCGTAAGTGGCTGGGTGAGACCACGGCCGCTAAATGTAAGACGCTATGGCCTCTCCCCCTCACACTCTCTCAGCAATGTGATGGCGTCGGGTAACGAGATTCTGCAGACGCACAGTCATGCACTATGGACCAGCGTGTGGTATCCTACAAAAGAAAGTACGCGCTGGCACGCGCTAACATGTTAGGTACTGTGTAAGCGGCAATTTAAGAGGCTGTAGTGTCTTCCCTTTACACTCTTTCAGGTGCGAATTAAGGCAGGGGTGCGAAGGCAGTCCTACACATTGACATGGGGCGCTGCGTCTAGGGGGGCGGGTGATGATGTTGACAGGTGACGTTGAAAGAAAATGAGAAATCTTTCTAAGCTCTATAAGGGAAGCATCCCTCCTGATCAATGACAAGATTAGAAGAAAGGGTGCTCAGTGGCTGGCAGAAGTACATAAAAAGAACAGAAAGGCAGCTGCAAAATTTTGGAACCATCTAAACTCCCTATAAGAAATGAAACAAATCTAGAGCAGAGGTTTATAACTACAGCTCAAGGTGATAGGCTAGAAGGGGACGAAGCTATTGAACATATAAGAACAAGGGTGACAGAGAAATTTCAACAAAGAAGTGCCTTATGCATTACAATAGACAGGGATGGATCAAGTGGCATAATGGCTCCATTTTCACAACGAGAGCGGGAAAGGGCTGAGAAGAGGGTTCCAAGTAGTACATCAACAGGCCCAGATGGCATTCCAATTATGCTGATAAAGACATTGGGTCCGAAGTCTAAACAGTCTTTGAGAGAGGCAGTGAGCAGAACTATAATCGATGGTGAAGTCCCTGATGGATGGAAACTTAGCAGGTTGAGCATGATTTACGAAGGAAAGGTGGACAAAGATGACATAAACAACTACCGTCCTATAACAGTGACATCAGCGGTCTACAGGCTGGCGATGCAGATTATAAAGAAAAGACTGCAGGCATGAATAGAGGATGAGGGGGTGCTGGGGGAACTGCAGAATGGGTTTCGGAAACACAGGAGGTTGGACGACAAACTGTTCTCACTGATGCAGTGCATCGAAATAGCAGAAAAGGAACTCAGGTCCCCGTGGCTAGCATTTTTGGATATCAAGGGAGCGTACGATAGCGTGGTTCAAGAGGACTTGTGGGGAATATTAGACACACTGGGTGTGGAAGATAAAGTCACTAATATTTTAAAGGAAATCTATAAAAGTAACAAGGTAGTTTTAAAGTGTAAAAAAGCAGGTATCCGAGCCCACAGAGGTGAAACGGGGACTTAGGCAGGTGTGTCCACTGTCACCCTTGTTATTCATGATGTACCTACAAGGATTAGAGGCCAAATTAGAGGGAAGCGGACTTGGCTTCAACCTCTCTTTAGTGAAACAAGGAAAACTCATTGATCAGGCACTACCAGCATTAATAGTACGCAGATGATATAGTGCTAATGGCCGACAACAAGGAAGATTTGCAGAGATTGATGGACATCTGCTGGTAATGAGGGAGATAGGTTAGATTTAAGATTCAGTAAGGAAAAATCAGCAGTCATGATTTTTAATGATAACGAAGGTAGTGAACTTATAATACAGAAAGTCACGCTAGAGATAACAGATAAATACAAATATCTGGGCGTATGGATAAGCAATGGGACCGAGTACCTAAGGGAACACGAAATATACGTGACGACTAAAGGTAACAGGAATGCAGCAGTGATGAAAAATAGGGCACTGTAGAATTACAATAGGTATGATGTTGGGAGAGGAATATGGAAAGGGGTCATGGTTCCTAAGCTGACGTTCGGCAATGCGGTCTTGTGCATGAGATCAGAAGTTCAAGCAAGATTAGAAATTAAGCAATGTGGAATAGGTAGGCTTGCCTTAGGAGCTCACGGGAATACACTACATAAGTGAGTGCAAGGTGATATGGGGTGGACATCATTTGAGGGCAGGGAAGCTAGCAGCAAGATAAAATTTGAGAAGCGATTGAGAGAAATGGTGGAGGAGCGTTGGGCTAGGAAGGCTTTCACCTACTTGTACATGAAGAATGTCGATACAAAATGGAGGAAGCAAACCAGAAATTGACTAGTAAATACATAGAAAACAGGAGGTGGCCAAACCAAAAAGAACTATCGGTTAAAAAGAAAGTGAAGGAAACGGAGACTGACATGTGGAGAATCGGCATGATTAAGAAGTCCGCACTAGAGATTTATCGAACTGTTAAGCAGGAAATTGCCAAGGAAAGGATCTATGATAATACTCGGGGTAGTTTTCTACTGTTTGAAGCCAGGACGAGAGTATTGCAAACCAAGACATATCGGGCCAAATATGAAGGGGTAGACGCAGTATGCAGTGCGTGTGGAGAGGAAGAAGAAACTGCCGAACACTTGATAATGTTCTGTAAAGGGCTTCACCCTATAGTTCAGGATGATGGCGCTGAGTTTTTCAAAGCACTGGTGTTTAGGGACAGGGAGGGCAAAATAGACTTTAAGCGGATAGACTTAACTAGAAGGAGGTTATCTGATTAGTGGCTAAAGTCAAGGCACGAGTGAAAATTATACCCTTCACTGCAAAGTACGAATCCTCAACCTCAATATTTAAAGAAAAAAAAAGATAAATCTAATGGTTAGTTCACTAAGTATTACGGCTAGGTGGCGTTAGCCGCCGCCCGATCTAAAGGGTACAGCCACATCCATCCATCCAGGGTGAGTGGTAACAAGGTCAGCCCCACGCAGGAAGGAAAAGTTTTCCTTCCTCCGTGGTCAGCCCCACGGAGGAATCTCCACGGAGGAGGTCAGCCCCCCCTTCCTCCGTGGTCAGCCCTAAACATTGACATAATAGGGAGGGGGGTGCTGTGACTTGCAATGACCCCGCCTCTCCCCAGAAAGGGAACCCTGCGCACCCCTATGGCACACTGCACATGCCTGTCGTGGTAGGCTTACAACAGCCCATTAAAAAATTGGCAGATCCCATGTACAGTGGGAATCGATGATATGCGAAGCACGAATTATGAAGGTTAATAGGTCACTTCAAAATCAGCACAACGTTACGAGAGGTAGGTAAGTTATGCCGTGCATGACTTCCATTTCATGATTATCATGTTTGGGCGTTTCATTTGTCTTCGTCATCTATTAACGTCACCTGATACCAACGTCGGTATATATGAAGCCAGCGAAACGGCCACGAGCGTGCTATGAGCGTAGCATGTAGTCATGTTTTACATGAAACGCATAATCTTGTACGTGTCATTTACCTTCGCCGTCTATTCACTTCCCGTGATACCAAATTTAGTACATGTGGAGGTAGTGCAACGGCGGCGAGTGCGTTATGAAGGGCCCAATATATTCTGACGCAACGTAGACGCGCACGCAGGCTAGGCGCAGCGACGCCACGCCAGCGAAACGCGACCAGCGTCCGTCAGCGTGGCAACCGGCGTGCTATGCGACATGCTGCATTTCGCACCGGCGTCGTTACTTGGACGGCATCGCGTCTGCTTCTCTTCGTGACGGAGAGACGACTGACGATAGTTATAGCGCGAGAACAAAACGACGACTATCATGCCATACCAACTAGCCCAAGCTGCCACACTTCTGAGAGACGCCGTGCGCGCTCAAACGCGCATGCGTCAAAGCAACGCAGCATGCGCCTGCGAGTATATGGCAGGAAGATGTCGACACGGAAGATTAATATTAGTTTGCTAGTCTTTTCGTTTCATTCAGATAATTCCGCACTGCCTCACAAACCTTCGCCCTGGCAAACCCAGAAATAGAGGCTCCAAAGGACAGAATCTTCCTTGCTTTGAGCCAGTTTGTAGTTCGCGCCTGTGGATGTCTGTCTCCTCCTGTGCGTTTTGTTGCGCTCTCACAATTGTTTAAATGTTAAAACTTATGTAACTACAATCACATTTTGAAAAATTTACTTAAACATTTTAGCTAATAGATTAAACGAGAGAACAGATATTTCTGTGGGCAATTTATGGGGGCTCGTTTTTACGTCTCTGTCCGGCAGAGGTCCTACAGCAGGTAGGAAGTAAAATTGTTGTACAGTGGTTGCAAAGGGCCGTCGCTTTATCTCCTGGAACTGATTTTTATGCCTTCAAGTGAGTACCGTATTTCGACGTTTCGTTCGTCTCGCTCGAGCACTCGTTGTGCTGCGACTGTGCGCTGATTGTGTGACCGGCCTGCACTTACTTGCATAAAAAAATTCGTCCGCCATTTTTGTAGTGCACGGGCTGTTGTCAAAAAATGAGGGGACCCGTGGGTTCACATTTTGTCGCTTGAAACTGGCCAAATCGATTCCTACGAGTCTTTGGTAAGCTTAGATATCCTTGCGAATCGTTGCTTGACCGACGTTTACCGAATTAGCGCCCATGTGATCGCTTTGTTGGCCTCTCTAACGTTCGAGAGCACGCGAATATTGGACCGAATTTGCTTAAATGCGCAGCTGAATTGCGAAGCCCTTTGGTCAAGCAGTTGAAGAATCGGTGATTTGCTCTCGCATCGGACGCGTTTGCATGATTTGTCGAGTGCAGCGCCGAATGAGTCACGTTCGCGTGTATTGCTTGTTTTGGGAAACCTGTTCCTGCAGTTCTGCAAAACTCCAGGTTCACTCGTGCAGTGACCTTCCCTAAATGCGACGAATTTTGTTCCTCGGCCTTCGATCGTGTCGGCTGTCTGTTTTTCGCGGCCTTCGTTTCAGTACTCTAGCTCGTTTTCTTGCCTGATCCGTCACTTCGTTCTTTTCACTTCGCCAGGGCTGCCGAGGCCCGTCTCCGCGTCAGCGCAAACAATGACCGTGTTACGCGACAACTGTGCAGTGGCCTAGATTTGACCACGAAGGGTCAGCAGAAAAGCGTCTCATCCTTTCGAACGCACGAATCTGTCTAGCGCTTTTATGTTGCCCAACGCCGCCGAGACCACAAGTCTGGGGAAGTTGTACGAAACGTCACAGATTTGGCGTGGGTCTCAAACGCACTTCCTGCGAGCCTCGAAAAATGAAACGCCAAAACTCGCTTTTGTTCTTGGACGCTTATGTTCCTGGCAGTCTTGGTCCGTTATGCGGGCGTGGTGTGCTGCAGGATTATTTTTTTGCGACGTGCGTTTATTTTTGTCGTAAGCTATTATGGCTGGCCCCTGCCAGCAGCGCGGGCTCAAAGCTGTACGGCGGTAGTGTACTCATCGGACGCTGTTGTGGCATACTCTGTACCGCATATTGTTCGGCGTTGGTACCGTGGTATTCTAGGCAGGTAGTATTTATCGTATTTATAGTTCTTAGCGTTGGCGTACAAATACAAAAATCCCAAGTTGGTGTCCATATTTGTCAAAAGAACACTAACCAGTGTTCAACATCTTAGAACACTGATTATTTATTTTTATCTCTCTTACGTTCACAGGTTGGCCAGGTAAGGCCCACAGATGTCTAAAATGCTAAAAATAACTAATGAACGTGTTTTCACTTCATCTGCATGCAGAAAGTTATGAAATGTGGGTCTAAGAGCCACTTGTGTTTTGTAAATGGGCAACAACAGTACTGCAGTAACTAAATTTTCATTGGAAGACTGTCTGGAATGGTCGATCAATGACTGTGGCATTAACCTGCTGACTGCGAGCTAGCAGGGTTCATTCTTAATTGAGGTGGTTGCCCTTTGAACTGTCGAAAGTGCAAACAGTTGATTTGTACTTAGATATTGTGTCCTAAGTAATCGTTGATGGGCGAAATTCATCTGTAGCATCAAACTATTAGATTCTACAAATGTAATCAATTTATGACAAAAGTCAGCAGGCATTTAGGGGGCCAAGTAAGGAGTGGCTTGACCTTTATTTAAAAAAAGTGTGGGGAGGAGGCAAACTGTTTTATTTAGTCGATACATCCAGCTTAGCATTCACTGTTAGCCATTTGGATTTATCTATGTTTAGGCTAACTGTGGCAGTGAATGTTCAGTACATTTGGCAATTCAGTGAATACTTACTCAAAATGCGTGTGCTGCATGTGCTGGCTGTAGAAAATGCTTGCGTGTGCTGGCCATAGACATCAGTTACTGAAAGCTTGTAGGGTTCAAAGTCAAACTTGAAAAGCCTAACTTTGCGAAACTTGTTACCCTGTGTAAATTTGTTATTAGTAAGTGGTACATACCACTCCAGCAACATTGGCAAGGCCTCGTGGTTAATAATAAGTGTAGATTTTTTTTGCTGTTAGCAGCATTTGAATAGCACTTAAGTAGACGCATTTACCTGGTGGTGGTTGCTGCAGTGTGGCCTAGGCAGGCAGCTTGAGAGATATCTCGGTGTCCCTCCTGCTATCTCTCAGCTCATGCTGAGGAGCTGCGATTGTATTATTTATAGGAGTTGTAATGTTGACAGGACATAATTTAGGCACAAAAAGCACCACCATTGTCACAATCACATTTCATTAAATTGCCATTGGGGCCTGACCCCTTTAAGACATACGCACTGGTACCATTTAAGACAAAATCCACTTGATGGCGTGTCATTTAGTAAATGACATTTTTATGTCTTTTTCAGATACTTTGCCTCAATGACAAGCACCACTGCACCACAGAGGTGATCTTTGTTTTACTTGCTAAGGTTATTAGTGTGAGAGAACTTGTTACAAGCCGCAGTACTAATTGCCCTGAAAATAGGGTCCTAGGGTTGAGTATTGTGTCTGAAGTCAAAGCAGTTTTAGTTGCATCTCTCTGCTGCCTCAGGGCTTGGGCTCTGTGACATTGGGAATAGCATTCCATTAGTTGATAGCTAATGGTTTTATTGTCATCAGAATAAGGGGGAGGGGGTGCATATGCACTCATTGATGGGAGGTGCAAGAGGCAGCTTTCCATGTTGATTTATAATGCAACCGTTTTCTTCCATTTCATGTGAAGACCTCCGTATTCTATCTTTAAGAAAGACAAGGGTGCTACACAGTTTTAGATTGGCATGTGACTGCCTAAACCTCTCTTCATTTTGACTATAAATACTTGAAGTGCTCTTCATGAGTGCTGTAATTGTTCGTTATGCCAAAGCAGTCTAGAATGGTGTCAATGAGAATTCCTATGAAAGCTGGCAGCACCGACGTAAAATTTCGAAGGTGAGATAGATTTGTGCAGAGCTATACACATCTACAAGATATCAAGAGAAATGTTGCCTAGAACATATTTAAAATCAATTTTAAAGTGCACGCCCAACGACAGAGCAACACCGACATCAACGCGACTGCAGTTAAACGAACCCATGTCACGAGTTTTGTTTTGTTTGCTTTGCATGTGCCTTGCACTTCGCGCAATTTCTTCCACTTCGTGCAATTTCTTACTTCGTTGTACCTGCCACTTTGCTTGTGCTGGCTATGCTGGTTGTCAGTGTGGTGCCTGCTCGTGCGCAGCACTCTCGTCACGGTTTCGCGCGGTCATGTCCCTGCTGGAACTGCCCCTGCCTAGCTCGGTGCTCTTTGAAACCGAAACTCCGACTGGGTGCTCTAGTAACATCTCTAAATAAATAACCGTCGCATACTCGGGCAAACCAAGTTCTCATAAGCGACAAGTAGGTCATAAGCTGCTGTTGCAAAAAAAACTGTCAAGGTGCAGAATTTTTGTGTCTGTGTTTATTCAGGTCAACGGTATAACGTTCTGTTGTGACAGACTTTAGGTCCAAGATGAGCTATGTATGTGATAATTGCTGAGGTAATCTTCAAGGAAGATTGAAGGTAATGTGTGTTGGTGCGCAAAGGTCTCATGGATACAGTTTACCTAACCTGTATTGTGGAAACTCCTATTCCAATATAATCCTGATAAACATGCAGGTCACCTTTTCAGTTTTGGAAAACGAATGTCTTTTCAGATCCGATTTCTTTGGGTTTTGTATCTGTGCAACATTTCTGCATTGTCAGAGAGATCAACTGGCTGTGAACAGCAGATGAGTGGCATAGCATTGAGTGGAAGATATTGCTACAAACTTGCCTTTTACCCTGCAGTTCAATTGCTTCACTATGTTATGAAGCTTGTAATTTAAAACAAATTTGGGCAGTAAACCCAAAGGAAACATTGTCTTTAAGGGCAGTTAGAACAGTAGACGTATTTGTTGGCCCTCTCGGGTTGCATTGGTCCCACTTTGTGATGTGCTTGAAGGCACCGCTTAGCAGCAACTGGACACATTCATCTCATTTGTTGAGGGCTGGCCTTAAGGATTCAACACTTTGTTTAAAAATAGATTGGGCTGTGCGTATTTTGTTGCAACATGTGTAGAAGCTGTCAAGAATGGGCACTTTCTCTACCGGGCTGACGTGTTCTTGCAAAAAAAAGTTCTAAAACTGCCCGCTACCTTTCATTCTTTTTTCTTCTTGCCTACATTGCTTGAGTCCACCTTGGGCCTGCAGTGTGTGGTAAATATGTAGCATTTTCGTGTACTTCTTTAGTTTATTTCTTTAGTTTACAATAAGTATCTGTCATTGTATAGCGATGCCATAGCTAGTCCGCCAAGCTTGCCCTTGTAAGTGGCATATGAAGAAAGAAAAAAAAAAAAAAACCTGCTGCTGCTGTTTGATGCACAGGTGATATGTGCAGACATTTTTATTGTGTACCACGTGGGGCTGTGCCACCTTGTTTCAGCTTTTCTTGGATATTCTCACTAGGTAAATGGTCAATAACTTTGTAACAATGCCATGAGCATCAGAGGGGAAAATGGGTTGTGCTTTCTGAAACACAATTTTAGTGCTGCCAATACATGTGACTTTTTTTTTATTGAAGAGTAAATAATCTGTATTAGCCACTGGATTGAAATTGCCCGGCTACTTTTTTATTTATTTATTTAAGTATACTGCAGACCTTCTCGGTCCAAGCAGGAGTGGTACATAGGATATACAAACAATGATGTCACGTACAGAAAGGCACCGACACAATCCAGGAAGAAGAAAGAAAAAACTATTGAATTCCAAGTAGCCAAAACAACAGTGTCATAATGCAATGTTCAGAATTATGCTAAAAGGACAAACCAGTCAAAGGGAAAAAAAACTGCTCACAATAAATCCCTATTCATACATTTGCGTCTATTGTTCAAAACTTATAGTTTTAATCTTTTCAATAAAGGATTCTACGGTGTCACAGTTCACAGCTATTAATGGAAGTTGATTCCAATATGCAATTGATGACGGAAAAAACAGAGTTTTTGTGAATGTTGTTGTGACTTGCGGGCAGTCGTATTGTCTTATTGTGGTTAGTTCTCGTGGAATGCCTGAAAGGTTCAAGAAGATAGTCTGATCTGGATATTGTATATTTCCCATGATAAAGAAGATACAGGAATTTAAGTTTAGAATGTATTCTCCGTTCGGAAAGGCAATGAAGTTCGGCTCTTTTACGCAGATTAGTAACACTGGTATACCTGGAGTAATCGGAAAACACAAATCGAACTGCTAAGTTTTGCACTCGCTCAATTTTTCTAATGAGAAATTTATGATGTGGACTCCAAATTATATCGGCGTATTCTAGTGCTGGTCTAATCAGGGTCTTATAGGCGGTTAGCTTTACTGCAGGGGGAGTGTTACGGAGTTTTCTCTTTAGGAAGCCCAATTTACCTTGCGCTTTCGAACAAATAGCAGTTATATGTGGATACCAATTAAGGTTGGATGTTAATGTAACTCCCAAATATTTAACTTGATCGCTTTTGATAATTTCTAAATTGTCTATTGTATAAGCAAATTTGAGTGGTTTTTTCTTATTCGTGAAAGTTATGGCAACGGTTTTCCGCGCGTTCAATGTCATTCCCCACTGGGAACACCAGGCTTGAATTTTTGTTAATGAGTGATTAAGATTAATCTGGTCCTCAGTTCGATTTACCCTTGTGTACACAACGCAGTCATCTGCGAAAAGCCTTATTTGAACGGGTGAGTCAATGACCATAGGAATGTCGTTGATGTAGATAAGAAACAAAATTGGTGCTAAGACTGATCCTTGTGGTACGCCCGAAAGGACGTTCAGGTGGTTTGACGTGTGGTTGTTCACAGCGACAAACTGCTTGCGGTTGTGTAGATATGATGTTATCCATGTAATAATATTATCTTCAATACCAATTGCATGCATTTTAGTTATTAGATCAGGGTGGCGAACGACGTCAAATGCTTTTGCGAAATCTAAAAAACGGCATCTATTTGTCCTCCTTCATTCAGTACATTTGCAATGTCGTTGGTAATCTCGGCTAGCTGCGTGACTGTCGATAAGCCAGATCGAAATCCATGTTGCCTATAGTAGAGTAGGTTGTTAGTTTCTAAATGTGTTATAATGGCTTTAAAAATTATATGCTCTAATATCTTGCAACACGTGCTGGTTAATGAGACCGGGCGGTAGTTACTGGATTGTAGTTTAGAACCGGATTTATGTATTGGAATAATCTTTGCCATGCGCCAGTCATTAGGGATTGTCTGCGTAACTATTGAAGTGGTGTAGATTTTATGTAGATATCGGCTTATCCAGTCAGCATAATTATTAAGAAAGGTGTTCGAAATATTGTCTGGGCCTGGAGACTTCTTAGTGTCAAGGTTGCGGAGCAGGCACTGAACACCTTCTTCATTAATCTGCAATTCTGGCATAGGGTTAATTAAAGGATATGATGGTAAGGATGCTCCAGAGGACCCATGCGCGAAAACTGAGTGAAAGAATGCATTTAATTCGTCGGCTATCTGGTCTGGTTGCGTGATGATTTTGTTGCACGATGTGAGCTGGGTAATATCAGAATGCTGCTTAGACAAGTAGCGCCAAAACTTTTTTGGCTCAGACTGCATGAATGATGGAAGCGTGTCAGAATGGAATCGAGACTTAGCGCTGCGAATTTTGTTGTTCAGTGTAGCGATAAGGCCATGTATGATCTCCCGCGTCACCCACGGATAATCGCGGTCAACGCGTTTTCTTTTTAAAGGCACTGATTACCATACAGTGTGGTTGATGCAGTGAGTCTTCTGTTAAACAAGCGTTTCCGTGTGCCTATGGCTTACAGTCCCCCAAAATCTGTGTGCTTTGCAGCTTTACTGCATTTGTAAATGTGATATGCATTAAGTGTGAAAGTATTTCTTTGGATACAAATTCTCCCTTTGGCCTGGCTGGCCACCTGGCTTCTATACTGCCACCCTTAGTAATTAACCGACCTGCCTTTCTAAGCAGCAAATTCGAAAGAGCACACCACTCAATTAGCTGTTGGTAGTGGCATTTCTGTCTAACAAAGATTAAGAAATCCTGAGATTGAGGCAAGCACAGCTTTGCAGTAAAATCGAAGTGAATTTGTTCGTTACTGTTTACTTGCTGAACCATTGCTCATTACTGTTTTTTATAGTGGTTATTACCAGTAGCACTTTACCCTTTCTGTCATTCTCATATTTAGGGTGGGCTTGAACCCTCAACTCCCCTCCACCGAGGTTCTTTACAACATTGTGTGTACATACAGTACACACACAGGACCTGTGGACCTAAAATCCTGACTATTTGTGTTCGTTGCCATTCCAGAATTGGCTTGAAGCACTTGCTGAAAAAGGCATTGTGCAAATGTTATTTCTCAGGTGTGATGCAGGAACACAAATACTACAATTGAGATTTAACAATGGCTGTGTACTTCATGGCACCACTGACTTGCCACCAAGACCTGTTGGCGTTACTAGTGCTGCAGTGTGGCGATGACGGAATTACTGTAAAAACGTGCAGCTGCATGAAGATTCAATGCAGCTGTGTATGATCTGCACAGGCAGTGCGACGAATCCTTTAACTGGGTCTATTAAATACGTCTTTGAATGAGAAATTAAATTGTATTTTGCCTCCCAGCCCCTTTTCTTTTTTCCGTTCTCTGCGGCGAACGTAGCAGAACAAATTGAGCTGATACTCTGTTGCGACTTCACATTGCTACAAACACACAGGGCTGAGGCATAAAGATAGTGGTTGGGACAGCTGCCGTGTTCATTCAAGAGAGGACCTGAAAGTTGCGTGCACCTGTGCAAAGAACAGACAGGCTCAGTGGAACCTTTGATGTACTTCTTGGAACGTTTATCATCTTTCGTCTTCCTAATAGTGGAATGTACTTCTATCACACCCTTCTTTACTTCTTCCTTAACGGGAAACAAAAAAAGTTTTACGCCTGAAGGTGTGTGGCGTGAAGCATTTCATAGTGTATTTCAGCAGTGGGATAGCAGTCCACATCTATTACTTTATTACATTCTGATAAAAGTGAATAACCAATGTTTTATCCATGTGGAGCAATGCAGGGGTGGTCTTTTGATGCTGTGTTCTGCGGATCATCCGTGAACGTGCTTGTGCTGTTCTAGCAGTCTCATTGTGCGTCGTCTTGTGGCCTCTGCAGGAAAGCTGACTAGTGGGTGGGGGCCAGAGCCGGTCAGCATGGCATCTGGCAGCCAGTCTGTGCGTGCGCAGAACAGCCATGGGCTCAAGCAGATTGACCTGGACCAGATATGGGGAGACCTGCGCGAAGGGATCGAGCAGGTCTACACCAACAAGCAGGACAATATGTCTAAGACCCGCTACATGCAGCTATACACGTATCCTTTTCTAACGCATTGCTGGTACCGTTACCGAGAGCTTAATCCTACTGTCCTAGTTTATAGCGAACCATGTAACTCGTTGTTGTAGTACACAGGGTGTCTACCAACCTGGCGAACCCAGAATTGATGGAAAATGTGGCCACGTCTCTGGAAAAGTCGGGGAATAGTCGTGGAACTTTTTGAAAACCTGTTCGGTCATGGGAACCTGAGTGTCGGCAGTCTACGCGCAACCATCACAGAAACAATCTTTACCCTTGAGCAAAGCTTATAATGTTGCTCCTTTTTCTGTAGCAATAGTAAATAGCTAAGCAGACAAGGCAGTTTTTCTTAGGATAGTACAGCATATCTCAAGTACCAAGCATAATGTTACGCTTCTAAATTTGTGCTTTTATGTCTTGGCCATGATCTCAGCTCGGCATTGTGGTTTGGCCAGAACCAGTATGAGTAGCAGATGTCCTCGGTTCTCTACTGAGCTTATGCAAGGGCCCTATCTCTCTTTCTTTTACCACTCGAGGGCTTATTTCCGGTATACAGATAATCGGTTTTCTAAGCAGGCTTACCAGTCGGGGAATATGCTTAGAATAATCATCGAAAAGCTAAAAAATCTGAATTTTTGAACATTAGATTGATTGACACTCTGTTATATAAAAATATTGAACAGCCACTGTGTCTATGCTTGTGATTCTTGGGCGTGTAAGGTACAGTAAAACCCTGTTAATTGAGTTACTGGAACGATAAAAAATATTCGAGTAATGGGAGATGCAGGTCGAAAAACTGCGATTTTTTTCGAAATAGTCGATTTTGTGTTTTCTTGTGTTTTGTATTCTCCAAGCCTTTTCCTTAATATGCTAAAAAATCAAAGCTGATAATCAACTAGAATTTATCGAAAAATACAATTGAAGCACTCGCGGTGGCTCATGAAAGAGCGAAATCACCCGATTTTTGCACACGCGGCACTTTGCTATACGTCATCACAGCCTGTTGAAATTTCACGGGCATGTAGGCCTAACCCTTTTCTCCTAGAGCCCACTTTAGCAGAGCGGCATTCACGCTAAAAATACAACGAAAAAATCGTTTTCTCACTGCATTCTAGGGTGGCGCGCTGCGCAGTCGTATGCGAGCGCTTTCTTCGTTTTCCTTCTTTTGCCGAGACATCGACGAACACAACCGCCCGAGTTATTATTTCCACACCTGGGACGCAGGCGGGAAACGCTGCTTTCTTTCGTTCACCAAAGTTCATTATGCGGCACCAGTACGAGGGAAGGCGCCCCGAGGCGTTGAGCGCCGGAGAGAGGTTCGTCTGCTGCTAGGCCTAGCTGCGGCAGCAGCGATGCACCTGATTTCGATTGTTCGAGCTTCATTCCTAGCGTCGATGACTTCGTCAGTGCTTCAGAGTGAAAGATAAAGATGTTCGACGACAAAAGCAAGTGCCAGGACGAACGTGAAAGCACATTTATTTGTGGGACCGATGCGATGCAAAACCTCATCAGTGGCACAGTATGCCCCAACTGCGGGCTTTGCGAGCTGTTCATTCGAGTAATGGCAAGTAGACGGTAAAGACTGGCATCGTTTTTGGAACTTTAGCGCCGAAATGACTTATGTTCTGCAACTTTTGTTTCGTCTACGTACACGTCAAGCTGCATGTATCCATCATGCAGTGGAAGTGCAGAGACGTCCGCCAGCAGCAGTGCACCGGACAGCTTCGCTGTGAACGTAAAGTCAGTGGTCGCGCTACGCGCGATCGGCGTCGGACACGAGCAGCTTGTGCGGCTTTGTGCAATCATTGGTGTTCAAAAACAACTGCGGCACAAGAAATGCCATTGTAAAAGAAAAAAAGTGCATACCGCCGCCGAAAACCTCTCACGAGCCCGAGAGCAATGGCCCATTGCCGCAGTACCAAAAAAAAAAAAAAAAAAACAGTCTGGAGGAGGCAGCTTGCAGAGACTGTAAGGGTCAAAGATATAGTGCTGGATTATTCTGAAATCGTCAACTTTTTAAAGATAGCTTTGCTGACATTCTCTGTGAATTTCATGCAGATTGATTGAAGAGTATAGTATTAAACATGTTTTTGAACTTTCAAGCCTCTTTTGCTCAGTTCCTCATTTTTCGATTTAGAGCTTGTGCACTATAATTTGTATGCTTTACGTAGCCGGATTGCTATGAAACTTACCATGCTTAAAGTTTAACATGTCCTGAATTAAAATAAACGACCTTTCAGAGGTTTCTAAAGCATATTCAGCTTGACAATTTTTCAGAAGCTTGTTCCTTGAGTATGGTAAAAAAACTCAGCATTAGAACTTTTTTTAGGCCAGCACACAAATGTTACACAATGTTTCTTTGCTTTATTGAATTCTGCGATTCTTTGGGAGCAACATTTGCTATTTCTTAGAGCTTTCTTGTGCTTATTGTTGCCTAAGCTTGCACAAAAATGCATTGTTTTTACAAATGCATGGTCTGCAAAAAATTAACTGAATGAGCCTTAAAAAAATAAAAGCAGATTTGAAAAGAGGAAGCTCGAACTCTATAACTGGTGAAAGTTCCATTGAGCTGTCGGAAATATCTGAAGAAAAAGTATTTCGAGGAGTATCTCCCACCAAGGAGGGTTTTCATGCTAGCTTAAACTTATAGAAAAATCAATTCCAGTGGAATTCTGTGGTCAGAGTCTGGTTTGCCTTGTTTGGTAGCTGTTGGTTCCAAGGGTCATGTTTATTAGCAATGCACAGTCTCGATTTTGTCGCAAACATGGGTCTTTTGTTGAAATAATGGCCTGGACTGAGCCACGAGGCAAGCAGAATAGTGTTGATGATTATTGATTAGTGAGTCACCCCAGCCTTGCTGCTGCTAGTGCAAAAGAAGGAAAAGGAAAAAAGTGTGCAGTCACACACCTCGTGAACAGCTGAGGTGAGCAGCGTATCGTCTATTCTCTGCAGGGTCACCGCATTATCATGTGACCGTTAGCCCATTTTTTCCAGGAAAAGTGTTGAAAGCTGGCCTGACCAGGTTAGAAAACATGACTGTTGGAGTTTTCAAATTAATCTCTTGTACCAGGTGAGCATTTTGCCGGCAGCTTCAGTGCACGAGTTACTGAAGCAAATGCCTACAGTTGTTGGCATTCACTGGATTCTGTCATTCTGGCCGGTACATCTTTTTGCCGGGAATAATTGGTGAATTGTCACATCTTGACACAATGACACTGAAGCATGTCGAGTAAAGCATGTCTTTCTCTGAAGGGAGGCGTTTCAGTGCTGGCAGTGTTAAGGCTGGGCTGCTTCACCTATCAGTCATCAACACCGCTATGTAGCATTGCCTTGTGACGCCCTAGTGCTTCCCTGTCCCTGTGTTTGGGACGAAATAGTGATCTGATCGGAAAATGTCACGTAGCACATAAGATAATTGAATGAACCAGGTCGTTGCAGGCTGCTGCTTCAAGTTATTATCATATTTGCAATAGAAAGTAAGGAAGTGCAGGTATTCTCCAGTATGGGTGAAATTTTGATGTGGAGAGTTGAATTCAAGTTATCGAGCGTTCACTGTATGTGTTGGTGTTCATTCCTTCCCATGCGTATTTTAATTGATGTGGACATCTCGATTGAAGCATGCTGCTTCTCAAAGCAAGAAAAGATTAATAAATAAATATAAATAAATAAATGTTGGATACAGAAGGTAGAAGTGTCACGGAATGAAACAAGCAGATCAGACATGAACTGAACGACCCCATCATACCCTGTATTTATATCTGAAGGAGCTAGCAGTTTTTGTGGTGCTTCCGCTTCTGGGCTTTTGTTCCTTGATCCGCTGGGAACTGCACAGACACGTCTACGACTACTGTACCAGTGTACATCAGGGTGGTTCGCGAACACCTGCAACCAAAACCAAGAAGAACCAGCCCGTCGGAGGGGCACAGTTTGTTGGCTATGAGCTGTACAAACGTTTGAAAGAGTTCCTCAAGAATTACCTTGTCACGCTTCTTAGGGTAAGTCTTGCTCGCTCCTATGAAATGAATTTAGCTGTCTTTGCGAAAGGTTTTCACTGCAACTGAGCTTCTTCTTGCCTTTTTTTCTAGCATGTGCATCTTGAACATCTTGATTTTTATTATGGCGTTATTGCTGAAGCCACGTTTATTGATATTTGAACCTTCTGAAAAATTTTCTTATGTCTTGTTAATCTGCCATTGTGTATGTCTGCTTTGTAACAGAGGTGCATCTGTTTTTTTGCCGGATATATATATTGGATGCGAACTCCGATGATGTCCTGCAGGAACTACCGTTATTGCAATGCATTGCATGGCTTTGGCATGTATACATTACAATGTGTTTTAAGTCTTAGTATGTGTACAATTAATAACAGCATCTTGGCAGCTGTCTACGTTAGATTGTGTAGAGATGTCGTCCAACCTTCTTGGGGTCATGCCAAAAGAATATGCGAAGTAACAAAAATCTCAGAAGAGGCAACAGATTCGACTGAGATGCTTGTGTTTGTGCAGTGCATTTTCTAGACTTTGCTAAGATTGTTCATTTGTATAAGTAAACAATCGAGCTGGCTCTCTTGCGCTGGAGGCCATATTTTTCATGCATTCAAACCGCTGCACTGCAAGTGCATCAGTTAATTGTACCGCCTACTGAATGAAAAATAAACTGAATTTTTAAAGCAACACTGCAGAATCATTTTAAAAATTAGAAAGACCATCTTCGTGTATCTCTCCACATATTTTCTGAAACAGCAAAACCAACTAACAAATGCTTCTCCATTTTGACTGAAAACTTGCAGGCGCCCCATGGCAGAATGGGGAATAGCTTCAGTTATACTTTTGTCTCCTTATAACAAAGTTTCATCTTGCATTAAAATAAGTTTGTTATAACAGAAAATTCGTTATAAAAATGTATTTCTAACACTATATCTATGACAAGACTATTCTTCATTTATATAACTAGTATTTCGTTATATTCGGGTTTGTTATATTGAGGTCTGAGTGTATTAGCATGCACAGATTCAACATCTCGTTGCCCACATCAAATATAAGGCCACCTTGGCTATAAGAGGCATAGGTAAACCTCTATTTAATGAACTAGTATTTCCCTCTATACAACTTCATGTCCATAAAACCTCACTTGTGAGGCATGTCTACCTGTGGCTTCAAAACAACAAAGTTTCACTATGACAGTCATCGAAGCCCGAGGCAAAAAAATTCTGATCCGGCTCATTCAGGATTGAAAGTGCTCGAGGGCAGAGATCTCATTGTAGGAGGGATCCTTCACTTGCGGAGAAGTATGTCCTGAGCATGTTGCAATAAATGGTGCATGCTTGCGTGGGCCCAGTCAGGATCGAATATAATTATCGTATTCAATCATAACCTTTGTTGGTTTTGATTGTGATTCAAGGCACCTGAGAACCGAAAATGTGGTGCACTGCACTGCTTGCCAGCAAGTTTCAGCGGCCCTCAAGCAAATGCCTCACAGTGACGCGTCGGTCGGTCTAACGTAACAGCTGCCTACGAGTGCTGGAAATTCTGGTTTATAAGCAATGTACCTGATTTGCAGGATGGAATCGACCTTATGGACGAAGATGTGCTACGGTTCTACACCAAGGAGTGGGAAGAGTACCAGTTTTCAAGTAAGGTGCTCAATGGCATCTGTTCCTATCTCAATCGGCACTGGGTAAAGCGAGAATGCGATGAGGGAAGGAAGAATATCTACGAGATATATCAGGTTTGCCTACTTTCATTCTATTCTTTTTTTGTAACGAACGTAGATTTTCAGGTTTACAGCTTTGCATCATGTGCTTTTCTTGTTTTTTCTTCAGTTGGCCTTGGTCTCCTGGAGGGACTGCTTCTTCACCCCATTGCACAAGCAGGTGTGTTCATTGACAGTGACCAATATGACATGTGATGCATTAGGCTAGTTAGTTACACAAGTTCGTAAATGGAAAAACTGGGCCAGAAAAGCTTTGTTACAGTCTAAGAAGGCCGATAATCGCTAAAATAATGTACTTATTGAAGTAAACCTTTTCGGGATTCGTACCTATTTTTTCGCTTATCTGAAAAGTTTCTAGGTTCTCGTATCATAATTTTTGGCGCAAAATCAGTTTATAACACTCCTATGAGATGAATGTGAGCGCATACAGGTGCTAAAACCATGCTTTTTCTATGCCTGACCATTGCCGTTACGAGCTATCATGGCCATCTTGGTCATGTTTGCTGACACCTCTTTTCTCGCCTTGCTCACTGGGTTTTCAGCAAAAACGCGTCATTGTGAGGCACCAGCGTGCGATTTTATTAGCTGCTTGAGGCACGTGACTAAACATGGCATCGAAGTGGCGTTGCGGCGTCTGCTTCACCGTAGAGATGCACGTGTGCAGGCATGCGTCCTTTAGTCCTGGTGCAGTCGACTGCCTGCTGCAATCAAGAAGTTCCGCGCCACACAAATTTGTGAAGTGGGTGTGGCGATCGCTTGCCGAGAATTCAGGAAGCGCCCCGGAATGACTCGGGACAATGGGGATGACGAACTCGTGGTGGTTAGCGGTCAGCCATATTTGGTGGGAAACGAGCTTCCTAGTCAGGAAACCGGCTTTGGCTTTTTGGGAATTAAAGTTGCAAGCGTATGCTGCTATTACTGCCTGCGAACAAACTTGACGTGCTGCTAATGCCGGCATTGCTGGCGACCACTTAGTTGCCATAGCAACAGCACATGCGCTAGATATCCGGTGCCATCGCCGAACTTACGGCCACGTGCTTTCGTTACTTTATCTAGTGAAATGCACCCTGCAAGCGAGCGTAGAAGTTGTGCCCTAAACCTAGCTCTATCGTGAAAAGAAGGGTGGGGAAGTGGGGAGGGGGTAGTGTAGCGTTTCGAAAATTTCTCTCAAACCCATGTTTTTAACCATGCAGAACGCCACTTAAGCCACCTTAGCTTCAGTACACTGGTGGCTTGCGGAAAGGAGTTTCAAGATTTGGAAGGGGCTGTTAGCTTTAGTTACGGCACACAGCACAGTTTGTTCAATTACTCACTCGTGTATATGCCATATAATTGTGAGTACTAATATAATCTCTGACATCTAAAAAAGGTACTGGCAGTAATTTGGAGCACTGTATGATATTTCTGCAGCCCTACAAATTTAAACAAAACAGTGCACCACCTTTTTTTGTGTCACTTCTGCTCCTGAGTTTTTCAAATCTCCTGAATCTTAAGGTTGCCAGCTTGGCGAATACACATTTCAATCCTTGGAATCTGTCAAAAAATTTGACAGGCGTGGCAAACGCCAATGTGCACTTTATCATTGTTTTCTGAGTGGGGTGGTTCAAAACACTACTTTTATTAAATTAGCACTGGCCATATTCACTCTGCTTGATTTGTGAATTGTTGAATGGCTTGTGCATATTTTTTTTCTCTGTACAATAGTTGTTTTTCATAGTGTTTCAAATGTGGTCTTTTCTGAAAAAAAAAAAAAGTTTTTTCCCCGTAACCTGCTCCGAATTTCGATTTTAGTGCTCCAAAAGTAACCTTTTGCTGCTCGAAAAATTGCTCTAAATGCTATTTTGGCTCTTGCACCCCTGCTATGTAATTTCATGTACATAAATTTTTGTGGTTTAATATTTTGGAATTCTTTGTTTTCTTGACTTTCCCAAATTGGCAATTTTGTACACCCTAAATCACAGTTCCTGCAATATATCTGGAACTATTACAAATAGCAGAATAATTCCTCTTGCAGCTTGAAGGTATATTTTTAGAGCACACAACATAGGAAGCAGATTTTTATTGTTCTTGATGCCAAGTTTTTAAAATTAGTCTTTTGTATGACCACACCATGGCCACATTTAGAGCTATAAAGTTTAGTGTAGTGTAAAGTAAAAAAATTAATGACCCAATCAAAAAAGTGCTTCCTGTATTTCGTGACTTGTGCTTTCTACTGTTCATCCCTATGTCATTTGTAAGTTTTCGACTGATGGTTATTTTTGTATTGTAGTATTAACAATAACAATCATTAACCTAATTATATAATTAACTAATGGAGCTTCTGAAAAATTAACATTTTTAGAATCGGGAGAACAAACTGAGTATGCATGCCAACTCTTGTCACATATGGTTAAAAAAATGATCAGACCGTTGCCTCCCTTAATCATTTAATCTTGTGCCACTGTTTTCACATTTACGAACATGCTTATAAAACCTGCATGTGTAACGTGCACGTCAAGCTGGGCCTTTAGCTTGCCACGTTTATCTTACGTCTGAATTCCCTCTTCTGTTTTCTTTCCGCTTAGGTTACCAATGCCGTTCTCAAGCTCATTGAAAAGGAGCGGAACGGTGAGCCCATCAACACGCGACTGGTCAGCGGAGTTATGTTCTGCTATGGTGAGCAAACAGTTTTACGGGTCACGTGCACCCAGCTGCTTGTTAAAATTTTCGGAATGCTAAGGGAAATATAGAGAGCCGTGCATTCGCTAAAATTCGGGTGATGCCTTCTCTTGCTGCAGTCGAGCTCGGTCTGAACGAGGAAGATCCGTCGGCCAAGGGGCCCAACCTGTCCGTGTACAAAGATGCGTTTGAGAACACGTTCCTGGAAGACACTGAGCGCTTTTACAACCGGGAGAGCATGGAGTTCCTGAGGCAGAACCCTGTCACAGAGTATATGAAAAAGGCAAGTACACCTTTTTAAAATGATTTTCAAGTGAAATTTGTATAGTCTAGCAGGTGGTGTTACAAAAAAAAAAAAAACATAAAAGCAAAACAGTGCCTTTGAGCTGAAAGATAGGGGGCTCACATTGGGGCACCTGTCACATACATATTTGCTCTCTCAATTGCAAAATTACGATCAGCTGTTTTTGATAATACAGCAGTCTGACTGTTCATCAGTTATTGGGGTGACTTGGCATTTTATGTTGCCACATCTCATTATTACCTGGTTATCAAAGAAGGAGTGTCATAGTTGCCTGCAGCAACTGCAGTGTTGCATTGCTAAGCACGTGGATGAAGGCAGTGGCGTGATAGCTGTGCCAAACTGCGCTGAAAGACCAATCCTGCTACATTTCTGCTATACTACGCCAAAGGTGCGCCAAACGTGTTGTTTTCATATTTCGAAAACAAAAACTACAGTGTCATATCCCTGTGAAGATTCGAGTACAGCTTGTGCCAACTGCGCCAAAGTTTTCTAGTCCACCTGGCACCGCACCATTTATGGCGTAAAACTAGTTTTGGTCGCAAAAAACACAACTAGAACTTTTTTCATAATGCTGCTCTAAACCAAAGCATCTGCACCGCTGCGTGTCTCTGTTGTTGAAAGTTTAGCATGCATTTGATAGCCTCTCTTATTTGTTATGGAACTGGGGATGAAGCGCATGAAAGTGACTTTTTTGTCAGGCGTGCCTCAAGGAGATGGGGCGAGGAGTGAAAAGGACATGGGGTGACATGATGGCGACTGCAGAAACCCTGTGGGTACTGTCCCTATAATTGCTCTCACAATAATTCGTAAAGTAGGTCTCCTCGGCTTCTAAATATTCTTAAGTGATTCCCTCGCACTTGTTCAGGCATGCGAGCTGGCTCACCGCCATTTGTTCAGAAATCGCACATTGACTCCCTTGTAACCCCAAATAAAACGAAAAAATGGTGACACTTGTTCTACCTAACTAGTTCTGTCATTTTTCCTGTTCGCAGAACACTATAGTTATTCCCCAACTGTGTCAGTAGCACGGGGCTCATACCCACCCATCGCTCCTTAAAAGAATGTTTAGGTGAAAAATTCATGAATACGTGGTGTCGCAAAAGCCACCATTTTGACAAACGACTTTGTCTTCTTCAACCCTGCTTCAAGTAAATGCATACCCTGCCACTTTCATGTTTAGATTGATCACTGACCCCACCCCCTTTCATACATTTACCGTATTTACTCGATTCTACCGCGCCCTCGATTGTAACGCGCAACCGGTTTCGACGACGGAAAAAAAAAAAGCAAGACATCGATTGCAACGCGCACCCATTTTTTCTCGTTGGCCCGCACGATCACACCACTCGAAAAAACGACTCCTTTCGGGAGCGTCTTCCGTTTAAATATGAGGTACAAGGGAAGCTTGTGCCCATCTGACGTGTAACAGAGCACTGCCGTCACTGCAGTTTTACCGTGGACCGATGTCAGCACGCGAACTTGCTTCGCCCCCTTTTCTCGGCGGTTGTGGTGCTAGGCATGTCCAAGTAAAGAGGCGTCTGATCGGCATTCCCGATTTGCCCAAGCAGATAGACGTTGTTGTGCCGCAAGTTTAGGGCGAACCTCTGAAAACTGTGAAGCTTTTCATTGTACTCCTCTCGAAACTTTTCGCATATGCCGTTCGCCTTCGGAGGGAAAAGCTTTTCCTCTTCATAAAATTCGTTAGCCAGCACCTGCTTGCTTTAAACTGGCTCCGCATTAGCCCTTTTTCTATTCTAGGGCTAACTGCATAGCCCGCACTTGGAGCAGTTCTGTCGTCTAGGGCCGCTGTGCCGCTCGCTGCTCAAGCACATACTCGCCGAGCAGCTCTTCAATTTGCGGAAACCGACCCTGCTGTGGTCCACTGAAGCATTTGCGTGAAGCTTTGCTGTCGACAATATTCTGCTTTTGTTTCCACCAGTCCCGCACGCACGTTTCGCGAACGACCGCGATGCGGCCCATTTTCGTCCGTCTCTACACACGCGATGACTTTTCTTTTAAAAGCGGCATAGTGGCGCACTCGAGTTTTTGGAGTCGGTCCTTCTATACCGTCGACGCTAATGCACTACAAGATGACGAACTCCTCAGCACACGCACGAAGTGCCGCACATGGGAAACATATAGGCAGAAATGGCTGACGCGCCATGCCGACGCACGTAGGGGGCAGCCATTTTGGATATGCCGATGACAATAGAATGACCGTATTCAGTTTTTTTTTTTTTTTCGTACTCAATTCTAACGCGCATGCAATTTATGAACTCACTTAACCGGAAAAAAGGTGCGCGTTAGATTCTAGTAATTACGGTACATCATGCCAGTTTCAGTTTTAGAAAAATTTATTTTTCCTGAATCTGGAAATTGGAAGTGCTCAGCCCAAAGTCCTCTAAATTGAAAGGAAAATTTCGCTGGCTGCTTATGTATCTAAATTATTGAGTAGGGTGGGGCATCATCCACATTGAGTTGTGGCGATTATTTAATGCATTGTCTACCTCAACATTTTTAAACAGTACAATCTCACTTAAAACAATCGAGTTTTCATCATTTTTTAATAGTTAGATTGCTGGTTTTCTAATTAGGTTTTTTTTTTGTATGACCCCTGTGATATAGAAGAAACAGTATGCGCCATGCTTACCTTGTCACTAATGCTTCACTTTTGCACATCACGCACATCTTGGGCAGTGCAGTGAAACCAGAAGGTGACACTTTGGTGCTTAGAACCTGATTAATGGCTGCTCTCTGGATGTCTCTTTTATCTCCTTGTTTACATTGCAGTAGCATTTCGAGTTTGAACACATCTAAGAATATATTTGTGAATAATGTTCCATCAACAAAATCAGCACTGTGTTTTTATATAGCAGATGTTTTGCAGAGCTTTCGATATAGTGCTGCTGTGCAGGAGTTCAATATGCTGTATTTACTCGCATAATCCTCCCACTTTCTTTTTTTTTTTTTTTTTTTGCAGAAAACCGATGATAAGTTGGGTGGGTGCGAGAATTTAGCGAGGAAATCTTTTCACAAAAACGTATAGAGCGGGGAAAAAAGGAACGAAGTGATCATAAATCGGTATTGAAGCTTTTAGAAGTATTTACCGAAACAATAAAACCACAGGTTCAACACTATGCACAATTTGTTCGGGACACAAAAGCTGCAAGCAAATATCAGTTTTTTTGGGATACCGTATGCAATACTTGCAAGCTTAGCGTTAGCGTTCGTCATTCAGTGGGAGCCTGCAAAAGGTTAGCTTACAACGTCAACCTTGAGCTGATGGCCATCTAACACAGAATCGTCCAAAGCTACCTCTGGAGAAATAGTTTGACCATCCATCCCAGTCTTAGGCACATAGAAGGCCCAGCAAATCTTGGTGGATTTCAGCTGCCGTCAACACAAAACTCGTCGCCTCCAAAGTGCCTACCAGCGGCCCTGTTGCCATTGTTTAGTGCATGATCGATCATTTTTATCTTGTATGCAGTCGTGTAGCTTCTGTATCGCCCCATAATCTAACCACAGAATGCACACTAACGCACCACAACGCACACTTGCCGCTTTGGTTTGGTTTAGATTAGATTGGAACCCTGTGCGTTGATAGTGTGCATAATGCTAATAAATGGCACCAGGCTGTTGTGCGCTATCACAGTCAATGATTGGGAAGAGCAGACGACATTTTGGCTGCAATTTTTGAGGGTGCTATAATTACTCGGGGGGAAAAAAATAGGGCATTTTTGTTGGGCAATGTGGGGCGTGCGAAGATTATGCGAATTAAATACGGTATGTGGATGCAAGCCCCATACTATTATATAGGAAATCAAAGGGGATTTCCCATATGTTCAGCTAGGCCAATAATTCGTTATATGCGGGGTCGACCTGCATGAGAAATCTAGCCATATTTGTAATCAGGATGTAAACATTTACATAAATAGTACTCGTTTCATGAAATTTTCAAAAGTAAATGTTTTAAATCGGCAAGTTTTTCATGCCGAGCCGGGCGTTATGTTTTTAACCTTTTTTTAAATTCTTCGCTGTCTTAACAGGCGGAGCAGCGTCTGACCGAGGAGCAGCGGCGGGTGCACCTGTACCTGCATGAGACGACATTAGAGGCACTTGCCAAGACATGCGAGAAAGTGCTCATTGAGAAGCACCTGGAGATCTTCTATGCAGAGTTCAAGAACTTGCTCAGCGATGATAAGGACGAAGATCTTGGACGAATGTTCCAGCTGGTCTCTCGCATTGTTGATGGGCTTGGTGAACTGCGTACTTTGCTCGAAGAGCACATACAGGTACGTCTTATACCTTGAATGTTTGGTTGTACGTAGTCTGGTAGTTATGGTACGTGACTGCTGACCCAAAGGTGACAGGTCAATTGCGCGCCCAAGCAGCCACATTTCAATGGAGGCAATATGCTGGAGGACTCAGTGCTTAGATTTCGGCACAGATTGAAAACACTGCGTGGTTGAAACTTCCATCGGCCGTTTTTTCACCACCGCTACAGTGTCGCACGTAATCTCATTGCGGTTTCGTACCATAAAATCCCTAGAAATTATTACGCGTTTTTTCATGGGGATGTGAAAACTAAATCTTGGTGTTAGTTAGTGTTTGAGTATAGGAGAGGACTAGGGTATTGTGGGTTCAAACCTGCAGCCAACCAGCCCAAAGTATGGCATTTAGCTGAGGGTTAGGTTCGTGACTCTATGAGCAAACGTTGTAGATGCCCTGAATATTTTATAAATATTGTAGTATTAAAATTCATTTCTATGCAAACATAGAATATTTTTATTTTTGAAGTATTTAAAATGAGTGATATCTGTGTTCGGACATAAATAATATACAGGGGCGGAACAGCTGCACCATTTACGCCATTGTCTGCAAAACTCGTTTATTATCGTCGTAATGTGCTGCAGCACCCAAGTTCAGTTGCAAGGTGCAACAGCATCAAGCTCCATGCCCGAGAATGTGGCTGAAACATCGTGTTTCACTGAAACTTATAGTTTCCGTTTGGTCAAAACACCCCCCTCCCTCCGAAAGAGGGGGGTTGGCATTTTTACCGAGATAAAATAATAAAAATGGATGATTTTAAAGACCTTCAAGACGTGGGCCAACAATGCCCCCTCCCCCCTCCTCTCCAAAATTCCAGGAATTTCCAGGGATCTCCGAATTCCAAAGATTCCAGGCTACGGGCCTAGCATAAGCCTTTGGAGCGACAAAAATGGGCCGGCGTTTCTGATATCTGCTTCAGCCATATTTATTGCCCCCACTCGCGCTCTTTTACTCGCGGGTAAAGCATACAATGTGCGGGGTACGTTATCAATTTGGACTTGATGGCAACGGCAAAAAAAAAAAAAAAAAAAAAAAAAAAAAAAAAAAAAAAAAAAAAAAAAAAAAAAACTTGAGAGCAGTATAGTAGTCTTTTATTTAAAATACCATAACTGCCTCACAATAGCCTTAAGATTACTATGACAATAATAAAGCTGTTGCCCAATTATGGGAAGATGCGGGTCGAAAAATGCGAGCTTTTTTCAAAATTACCGCTTTTTTATTTTCGCCTGTTTTGATAAGATTAATGCCTCTACTGTTATGAAAAAAATAATACAGGTTGAGACTTGACTGGAAATGCTTTGAAATTGCATCTAAAGAGCACAAGATGCATGTTAAGGGGAGATGCGGGTCGAAAAACGAGAATTTTCTAAAAAATTATCGATTTTTTGTTTTCACCTGTTTTGTTAAGATTAGTACCTTTACTATTCTAAAAAAAAAAAAAAATCTATGTCGAGAATCAACTGGAAATGATTTAAAATTGCGTCTGAAGAGCACAAGGTGGCTGTCAAAAGGCCGAAAGTGTGTCATCTTCGAGCACCTTGCCGCTGATAATGCGCCGCTGCTCGCCATTGTCGACCGCATGAGGCGAAGAACCGAGCCTCACTCTTCAAATAGCGACGGTTTCCCGCGCTGCTGCAACGCAAGAAATAATAAAGAGAAGCGCGCTTTTGCCGCCTTTTTCGAGCGCCGCGACTGGCTTTTAAATCACGTGGTACGGATCGGGAGCCGCCATTGGCCGCTGCGCGCCTGTGTGTGCTGTGAAGCCTACTTGCAGGATCCGTGTCTCGTCGAGTAGCACAGCTGAACAACGCTTTTCTCGAGTGCTTATTCGTTATGGATGAAGAAAGCCGTAGGAAGCGCGGTCACCGGCCTGTGAAGTTTCACGCGGCGCACAAATTTCGAGGACGCCGGCGCAAATCAAAGCCGAACACTCAAGCCATGAAAAGATCGTCTGCTGCCGCAAAACGTAGTGGCAATGACGCCGATGCGCCCGACGAGTTTGCCGCGGCATTCGAATATGTGAGTGCCTCCCAGAAAAAGATCGGACTCTTCGAAGACGAAGAAAAATCACAGGACGACGAGTCTTCGTTGATTGCTGATGTGACAGCACTGAACATGCTTGTGCGCGGTGCAATGTGTCCGACGTGTCGCCATTTGGGATTACATGTCCGGGAACCGGCCGACAAGCGGAAAGGACTTGCGTCGTTCGTCGAACTCCACTGCCCAAACAGTGAGTGCCCCGAGACTATTCTTTTGGCGACACATACTTCGCGGCGAGTAGCTTCAGGCGGGGAGGCCAGCGTGAGCGTGGCGGGTGACGGACTGACCACGAGGAGAACATACGACAGCGGGAGCTCGCGCGATAGCTACGCTGTCAACGTGAAAGCTGTTGTGGCGGCGCGCTTTGTAGGCATGGGCTACGAGTCGTGAGGGCCAAACCTATGGTGCTGGTGCATTTTAATGGCAGTGGCCACTACAAGGAGGATTTTTCTTTCTTGTGTACAAATTTCATCGCATTCAATGACATCTTTGATAAATAAACATGCAATTTTGACTTTAAAACTTCTTTTTCTCAAAACACAAATTTTGCCATTTTTGTCAATGTGCCCCTCCTTTTTCGGGTACTTCTGGTGCTCAGATCTGCATGAAATTTTTCCCAAATTTTTTCCAAAGTACGAGAAATGCAATTATCTTGTTTAAGTTTCAATATTCTTTTTATATAATAAAAAAAAAGTTATGTAAACTTTTACTAGGGTAGGAGAAATATGAACTTCCCACGTTAAAATTTTTCACGTCTAGTACATATTTTGTATGGACTTCCAAATTACTTGTTTGCATTCCACACTTCATTTGAAACATTATGAACTATCAATTGTAAAAAATTAATGAAGTTTAGGTATGAAAAGAGGGGGGGCAAAGGGCTTAAGTTTTTCACTTTGTCATGTTGCAAAACTAAAAGTATGCAACTTGCAAGACAACTCATTATATATTCGAAATCAGCATAAAAAGTTCTATAAGCACCTCAAGTTTCATTGCTCTCGAATGAATATTAAAAAAAAAGTGTCTTCGACCCGCATCTCCCCTTAAAAGGTCCAAAGTGTGCAGTCCTCGAGCACCTTGCCACCGATAATGCGCCGCCGCTCGCCATTGTTGATCGCATGAGTCGAAGAGTCGAGCCTCACTCTTCAAATAACAACAGTTTCTCTTGCTGATGCAGCGCTAGAAATAATAAAAAGAAGCACTCTTCTGCACGTTTTTCGAGCCCCGCGACAGGCTTATCACATGGTACGAATCGGGGACCGCCATTGGCCGCTGCACGCCTGTGTGTGCTGTGAAACCTGTTTGCGGGGTCCATGTCTTGTTGAGCAGCGCAGCTGAACAATGCTTTTCTCGTGTAATTATCTTCGTTACGAATGAAAAAAGGCATTGCTCGCAAGTAAAAGCCGTTTTGCGGCGCACTCTGTAGGAATAGGCTACTAGCAGCTGGTCCAATTTGCGGCAGTTGTTGGCTTGCAAAAGCCAATGCATCAAAAGTCATTCACACCCGTCAGCCGGAAAGTTCGTGATGCGGCACTGGATGACGTCAGCGCCAATCTTGAGAGGTCGAAAGAGCTCGCAGTGAGAGAACTTAGCAGGGACGACATTGCCATTATGTACAACGGTATGTGGCACAAACATGGCAAAATGGCATGACACTGGACTTAGTTTGGATTTCGCAATCCTGTGGAACTTCTTCCTAGCTTGCAGTTGGCCAAGGCTCTCCCAGATGGAGCGGAAGTCTGGGAACCGTTTAATGGTCCTGTCTGTGAGGAGTCAGCTCGAAAAAGCCGAGAGGGACAAACTCATGGTGCTTGAGTATTTTAGTCGCAGTGGCCACTACAAGAAGGATTGTTCTTTTTGGTGTGCAAATTTCATCTGATTTAATCTTTAATAAATAAAAACTCAATTTTAACATTAAAACTCGTTTTTTTCAAAACACGAATTTTGCCATTTTTTCCAATGTGTCTCTCCTTCTTCGGGCACTTCTAGTGCTCAGATCTGCATGAAATTTTGCCCAAATTTTTTCCAAAATATGACAAATGTAATTGTTTAGTTTATATTTCAATATTTTATTGCATAATAAAAAATTGTATGTATACCTTTACTAGGATAGGTGAAATATGGACTTTTTACAACTATTATTTTTCACGCGTACAGTCAAGCCCGCTTATAACGAACCTGAGAGTGACGCGGCATCCGTTCGCTGTATCCCGAATTTCGTAGTAAATGGAACACAGCTTGTAAAGAAGGTTGCGAGTGAAAACACAAACTTTTTTGCCCCAAAAAGTCCGCGATGCATGTGTTTCAAAGAACAAAAGCGATAAGGGCGGTCTCGAGTTCATTTAAAACAGCAGGGTGCTAGGGCCGTGGCATAAGCTGCTTGAGGCACTGTCTCCAAAGTTTCGTCATTCTCGCAATCCGATTCCTCCAAATCACTCTCGCCACGTACTTCATTCACCATGCCCCAATCCGTGCACGGTTTCGCAGTGTCGGCATCATCATCGGCCGTAATTAAACCATCGCAACAGATGTCCCACCTGCTCTTCCAGGTTCGTAGTCGACGACGCGCGACCACAAATCGTCGCCGCAGTGCGGAAGCTTCGTGCTCGGCATCGGGCCCGACGTCGACGAAGTCGGCCTCGCGAAAACAGTCTCTCCCGCATGTAGCTGTCACCACCGCCCACAAAATATTCACCTTCTCCACAGCTGAATACAGGGACGTCCGAAGCGGCAAGTTGGCTGCCAGGTGGTCAACAGCTATGAGCAAGCACTCCGCAACACGGCATCTAACGTGCGGATTACGCTCAAGCCAAGCGGTCACACGACGTTTTGTTGAGCGGCACGAAAAGGCGTGCTAGTCCTCCCGTCGGCCATCATGAACACACACGAACACCAAGAGCGAGCAAGCCGCGCACTCGCGACACACATGCCAGAACGCAGTGGAACAGCTCTGGGCCCGTATCCAGTCAGAAAACTAAACTAATTCGAGCCAGCGTGGCGGGCGTCGCGGACCGGTGGAGACGGGCGAAGGGGTTGTTATCAAGAGAAGAGAGCAGACTCGCGAGAGAAGGGCAAGGAGTTGCGATAAAAAGAGGGGAGAATGCGGCGGGAGGACAACTTTCAAAACCAAAACACACGTGAAGGAGGCAGGTTGGGTAGCTTGCTTGAAAGGTCTGCGAAACTCGCACATAGAAAAACTTGGAAAGAGTGCATGGCTCGCTGAATCGGTGCACGCGGAGGTGTTCGAGGAATCGGCGGCCGTGGTCAAAAAATCGTTTCGTTGTGCCAGCGAGTTTGCGTGGCCTCACGAACTTCGATATTTCGTGATTCGTTCCACGCAAGTTAACAGCCGTTTTCGCCCTTCCTCACGCGCGCGGAAGGCATGCTGAGTCAAGCACGAAGTGAGCGGGAACAAGTCCTAAACACGAAACGAATTGCAAATTATCAGAGTCGGCGGAATAGCGTACGCGCGTGCTATAGACGCAGACTATCGGATACAGCCGGTGGCTGACAATGTTGGCAAATCTAGGCCGGCGACGCCAACGACAGTACCAGCGATCAAAAACAAGGTAGATGGCCGACTGGTCTTCAAAAGATCGGTGGCAGTGTGAAAACACGGGCCTCGCCTGATGATGTGGGGTGCTCAGAGTAGCAGGGGGACAGGACGGAGGGGTGCGTAACAAAAAGCCGTCGGGGAGAGTGGCAACTAGATGGGCGCAAAGGCAGGGTCGGCGTTTAACAATAAGAATCTATGGACACCTCGCCGATGCCTGATCGGTGGTCGAAATTGGTTTCCCGGGAAGTCGGCAAACCGCTGACTCCGTTCGCTGTAACCGATCAGCGGTGCTCGGAGACGTTTGTTGTAAGTGCGATTTTGTGCCATAGAACCAATGTATATTTTCACGGTCACGTGGATATTGTTCGTTTTAAGCGTAAGTTCGTTTTAAGTGGGGCCGTTATATGTGGGCTCCACTGTATTACATATTTTGTATGTGCTTCCTAATTAGTTATTTGCACTCTTGTTGCAGAGCTCAAAGTGTGTAACTTGAAAAAAAAAAACGAATTATATACTTGAAATCAGCGTAAAAAGTTGCATAAACAGCTCAAGTTTCATTGCTCAAGGGTGAATATTAAAAAAAAAAGTGTATTCTATTAGCATCTCCTGTTAAGCCTAGTGTTTGAAAAATGCAGTATGGGGCAAATGTTGCTTCACTAGTACTGTGTAACGGGGTTACTTCTTCTCTGATTGTTATATCGGTTACAAACATGCTCGAAAAAAAACCATTCTGGCTGCCCCAAGCGTGCTACAAAAGTCGCTCTTGCCTGCTCCCAGGAATGCCCCAAAACTGATATATATAACCTTTTTATAAAGGTTATATTCAGGGGCCTTTATATTTTGAGGGGTCTTTAAAAGGTCTTTTATCGGCAGGGTGCTGTGTTGTGAAACCGCACCTGTAGGGCAACCTGCAGTGCCGCAAAGCCAAATTTAAAAGTTGTAAGTGTAGCTAAGCTACCTAAACTGTTTTTAAGCTATAAAGTATGTTATACGGGCATATATATATACATATATACACGCTAAGTGTAATAATTCTTAAATCGTAACATATTGTACAGATTATACAGTGGACTCCCAATAAACGAAACTCGCTTAAACGAAAATGCCTCATTAATGAAACTAAAAGGGTTCATATGACTGGATTTCTGTGTGTTGCACTGTAAAATTCATCGGTTAATCGAAACAGTGCTTATTGGTCACCTACAGTTAAACGGCACAAACTCTAAGCACAGCATAGACTCGCTCATGCCAAAGGTAGTCTCACAACCATGGCAACACCTCGAGATCGAGACAAGCCAATCCGGTAGCCATTCTCGCTTGTGGTGCTGTGGGAGCCGAGTCGGCGAGTCAATTGTGCATTAGGCCTATTTGTGCGGCTAAGTGCGTTGGATCACGGCGCTGTTGCGACCGGATGGAAAGGAAGCGGTCGCACCATGCACTTTTGCTTGAAAAAAAGCTGCGAATTTTTCAGGAGCTCGATCAAGGTGGCCTGCCCAAGACGGAGGTGGCGAAAAAATACATCCCGAAATCTACGCTGTCACGGATCTGGAAAGACAGAGAAAAGATTGAAGGCACTGTTGAGAACGAAACAATACATTTTTGCAGACTAGTTGGTTCACACTTGAAAAATTGGAAAAATTGGAATTGCTGCGCCCTTTCCTGTCTCCCTTGTTTTTTTCTTCAAGTTTGTGCAGCAATTCAATTTTTCAAGAACGGGACCTTTACATCTAAATGGATGCGAATGCGGACGACGCGTTATGAACAACTAGAAAAAGTTCTTTTTTTTGTGGTTCAAGCGTGCACAGAGTTCCAATTTGCCCATAAGCAGACCAATTCTTGAGCACAAAGCTCGAGAGATCGCCATGCAAATGGGTGTTAAGAACTTTGTCCTAAGTGACTGATGGCACGGCCGCTTCAAAACACTCCATGGCCTAGTCTTCAAAGCAATCTTGGGTAAGATGTGGTGCAGTCAACAGGGACATATGCACCAACTGGCAACAGGGGTCGACTGAAGGAAATTTTGATGAGCTTTCAGCCACGAGACGTCTTCACCGTAGACGAGATGGGTCTTTTTTATAAGGCGCTTCCATCAAAGACTCTCACCTTCAGAGGCGAAGCCTGTAGTGGAGGAAAATGCAGTAAAGATCGCATAACTGTGCTGGTGGGTGCAAACATGGCAAGAGATGAAAAATTGAAGCTGTTGGTAATAGCAAAATCAAGGCACCCGTGTTGTTTCAAAGGCACCTTCCCGTTGCGTACCATGGGAATGAAAAAGCGTGGATGACCATGGCCATTTTCGAAATCTGGCCTCGGGAGGAAGACGCAAGGTTTATGAGGCAAGGCAGGAAGGTTGTCTTCATCGTGGATAATTGCCCAGCCCACGGTCAGGTGCAAGGACTTCAAGCCATCACTCTGGAGTTCTTGCCAGCCAATGCAAGGGCAGCGATACAGCCAATGAATCAAGGTGTTATGCAGAACAATTAAAGTTCATTACCGCAGACAATTGCTGCTTAGAGCAGGCAGCGGAAAATGCTACAGCATAGATTTATTGGCAGCCATCCACATTTTGGCTTGTGCCTGGGAGCAAGTGAAGGCAACAACAATGCACAGATGCTTTCACCATGCTGGCTTTGAAACACAAGAAAGCAGTACCTGATAAAGAAGAAAGCCCTGCTGATACCGACATTGAGACAGTATTCAGTCAGGTCGTGCCCCTCTGCCCCTTTCACAGCTGCAGGACTACGAATTCAATTGATGAAAATGTTCGTACCTGTTGTGAAGAGACTGTCGAAGAAATGATTGCTGAAGTGCAAAATGAGGATCAACCTTCCAGCGAATGAATGAGATGACAATATGCCAGTGCAGTGGTGCCACCAGAGGATCAGCTAAACAGGCTGTTGAACTTTTGCAGCGCTATTTTGAGCATGAGGCTTGTCCAACATTTCTAGCTAGTTTGTCAGGCATGGGTGCGTACCTTGTGAAAAAACAACTCAAGCTTGCCAAGCAAACCACTCTTCGCTCCTTTTTTTCTTCTACTCATTCTCGTGAGTAAGGTGAGGTTTGTGCAATTTGAATAAAGGTCTTGGTTCACTAAATAAGTGTACTTTGCTTAAATAAAACTTCTGATAAATGGAACAGTTTTATGGATTCCCTTCGAGTTTCATTTAGGAGGAGTCGACTTTATCTTGCCCCCTACTGCTATACAAGTTTTGCTAGTAGTATTCAGAGTCGGTTACACTTCCTTTTGAACCCAAAAAGTGACACTCACACATGTCAAATTGCAATTCTTTAAAATATTGTGCAAGCTATTTGGGTCATGAGAAAAATTCTAGCTTTTCCTATTAACATGTATTGTTCAAATTATTCGGTTATGAATGACTCTACCAAGTCACTATTCACTTCGAACCACAAGCTTACTGTTCGCTCATCTGTAGTGTTGATGAAGCAAGGCATAGTTGGCTTTCATGATACATGGTCATTGCCCTATTTGGCTGCCAATTCTTAGGCAATTCTACCGCAGAAATTACACAGGGCAGTGCAGTTACCTGAAGGTAAACTAGGTAGAACAAGTTCATTGTGTGTGTGTGTGTGTGTGTGTGTGTGCGGGGAGAGCAATGCTGTAGTGAACTGAGTTGCCAAGTGCGAGAGAATAGAAGAGTGTTCAGTGCAAACTTGTTAGGCTGCCATTGAACATTTCACTCCCTGACATGCTTCTGATGTTTTGTGCTCTAGGCCCAGGGCCTGTCTGCCGTGGAGCGGCTAGGTGAGGCAGCTGCCCAGGATCCCAAGCTGTATGTGGCCACCCTGCTGCAGGTGCACCGCAAGTACAACGCTCTCGTGCTCACTGCCTTTGCCAACGACGTGGGCTTTGTTGCTTCCCTCGACAAGGTTAGTGCCATGCCTCTGTCCCTTGAGAAAAGAGAAAATTATGACCTAGTTCAGCGTGCTTGCGTAGGCTGGTATTGACTGCGTATTGCCTGTGCATGCTGTGTTGTGTGTGTTGCCTTAATTTTGTTTCTTACTCATGCCAGTCCTGTCAGGCTGGTTTATACATGATTCTGTTACATAATACGACAGTTTACTTTCGGATTTCATGCCCAATGTTAATTTCATCTCCAGAGCTTTGTGTGTACATTGCGGACTGTCCACTTTAGCCTCCGCAGACTGGCTGGAACTCTCCTAGCAGCATGCTCTCTCTTTCCGATTTATTTTTCTCCACACTATTCTAACGTCCAAAGCTTTAAGAACTTTTGACACAAATGAGAGGGACAGAATGCGTTTTACGGCAAAAAACTGTCCCCGAAGATCTGCTTCTGAATGTACATCTCTAACGCCATGCCTGAACTCTAGTCACATTAGCCTTTAAATTAAATATAATGCGGCCGTCCACCAAACATACCTGGAAGGTTGGCATGCATTCCCCGCATCGCTTTCAAACACCTGAACTCATTCATAAGCATGTCCAGGCTTGTCAGGTTTGTTTACGTGTCCTCTTACTATACATTTCATCCACTTTCTTTCTGTGTACACTAGGAAAGTGCTAGTGGGTTCAATGTGTCTCCCACAGTTTCTTTTTGTGCAGAAGCAGCGTTGATGCTCTATTTCGTTGAACTCTTTACCGGCTTGTTTGTTCCAGGCATGTGGCAAGTTCATCAACAACAATGCTGTCACAAGGCTCGCCAACTCGTCTAGTAAATCTCCTGAGCTGTTGGCTAAGTACTGCGACATTCTGCTAAAAAAGAGGTGTGTTTGCATTTCGACGGAGATGAGCTTAATGAAAAACACACATTTATGGAATAAAGTTTCGATAGGGCTTCGTGAAAGTGAAAGCCCTTGGACATTTTTAATAATAAGCATTAAATTTAGGGGTATTCATACACCAAAGTTGTGTAAACACTGATATCTGCTAAGGGCTTAACATTTTTCTTGCTTATAGTAGCAGACGCAGACCATAAAAAAAAAAAAATCGGAGCTAAATAAAGACAGGGTGTGTGATGTACAGAAAGGTCATAGTGCAATTTGGCTTCACAATGCTACTTCACAGTTAATGCAAGAAAGATGTTTTCATGCGAATGCAACAGGGTATATAGTCGATCCCGAATATATCTAACTCTAAGGAGATCGCAAAATAGTTCGATATATCAAGAATTTGAAGTATAAAATATTCATATTTAAGGCCTAAATTAAAGAATTTCAGGTCTCAGAAATCATTACAAGAGCTAACATAACGATTCACTGAAAAACAAGGTGCAAACTGGAAGTTACCTCACTTTATTGAGGCCATAAACTTGCCTTGCTTCTTGCACGCCGTCAAGTTCCAGGCATCCTTAATATCATTGACACTTTTTAAATAAGCGAACTTAGCTCCTTTGGCCACAACGTTCATTGACGCAGAATGCCGATGCAAACTTTGTAGCGCCGCAGAAGCTTGGTTAGCGGCGGAAGCGAAGGTGTTGGCACATTCATAACCGCACGGCTACACTTCCGCGTCAACGGCAGCCATAATATTAGCATCGATGCAGTCAGAAACCTCGTCATCCTGTACCGATGAAGTCGCTACTGTCCGAGATGGTGCCCAGAAACGCTGATAAGTCGCAGAATTCACTGAGGCATCATACGCCCTTGTCAGCAGTCATGATGCACCCGAAGTCGTCACCTGGCCTGCAAGGAACGTTTACGACAGTGTTTTACGTTGACGTCGCTCCAAGCGCCAGTCATAATTTTTATTGCTATGTGCTGGTCAACGTTCAGTTCAACTCCCGAATGAGGATTTATCAGGAACGAGGCGAGAAGCCCACAAGGTGCAAAAGACGCAACGCCAAGCTCGTCGGAGTTCTCGCTGTCGACATGTTGGCGATATCGACATAGCTTAATATAAAAGGCCTAGAGAAGACACTGTCATAGGCCCTTGCAGCTTATTTGGGTTCGCAGCGCACCAAGTGGGTGTGGTGCACACTTTACATCGCTCTTTCGCGAAAAACAGCTTCAAGCAGTTGCCGCAGCAAAAACAAAGCAACTTTAGGTGTCATGCAAGCCGTTAACAAGGCTAGGAGTGTTTACTCAAAGTTATGTCCTAGATATAGCTAGCAAAGATTTTCTAGATACACCACTTCTCTTTTATTGTGCTCGTTAGTGCTTCAAGCAATTTGCGAATGGCAGAGACGGTACTTAGCAATGCTGCACTTTTCACAAAATCTCACTCATGGAGTGAATTTTAATACATGTAGCGGCTCAACGAAAGCCTAACAATGCGATTGGAGACTCAATTTCTTGAGCCAAGAAAGAATTGTCTCGCAAACGTGCTGCAAAGCATTCCCGACAGTTTTCTTTCGTATGAAGCAATCCACGAAAACAGTACGCCAAGTGAAGAGCACAAAAAAGATCTTTGCACCTGAACAGCACAATGCCAGAAACGTCAAGTCAAGGCTTCAATGACAAATGCAATACGCACTTAACGTAGTATTGATGGCGTTCGTTCTTACCAGCAGCCAAGCTGAGAGGCAGCCGAAACAAGCAAAGACCACGACGTACGCCAGGCACGTTATCGCACATCTTTTATGGTATATCCCTGCTGCGGCCCGTACTTCTTCATTACTGCAAATGCTCATGAACACGGAGCGCGACAATGTTGCCGTGGCGTCGACGCCATGTGCACTTCTTTTGCGTCCGATTCATGCCTGATCCCAGCCCGACGTTATTGCACCGTACAATTGCAGGCGATAAAGACGGATTCAGGCCACTATCACATGCGCAAAAACACATAGATGTATAATGCACCAGAAAATGTACTGTAGTAAATAACTATATGCGTGTTTTCTTGAAGCAATGAGTGATGTGTTGCCATCTTAGCTGAGGTGAAGCTGCGTAGCTCAGCCGCTCTTGGCCCGAGTGACCACTCTTGTCATTCTGTTACTCTATGATATCGATGTCTCTGTGGCTTTGTAGCTGGCAGCTGCTGCTTTTAGCGGCTTTGATGCGAAAAAAAAAAAAGCATAGCCTCCGAGACACGAGTTCTGAGACTGAAAACACTTTAAAAATACGTCACAAAGTTGCATATCTTGAAGGCCATGCTTTTCAGGCTCGCATGCCATTCCGCGCTAACAAACAAGGAAGAGAATGCAAACCACATGCGAACATTGCACTGAGATCACAGAGTCGCTTGTCATTCTCTTTCAGTGCTCTCGGCAATCGGTCTTTTGGAAAACACTATGCCCGCGCGGTAAGACCTGCAGATCGCGCATCAAACGTACCGATGTACATGCAAGTGCTGCATAACGAACCAGCGATAAAATGACACCGTTTTTTCATCCCCTGCGCGCGAAAAAGAATCAGAACTTGTTCAAATGTGGCCTAATATTGATCAATATTTGGTAGGGAAAATGCACTTTCCGGGCTTCGGCGTGGCGCAGCGTTTGATATATGGGTGCACCGGTCCCATACTTGTGCATGGGGAATTCAAGGGGATTTTTCAACTGTTCGATATAGCCAATAATTCTATATATCCGAGTTTGATATATCCGGGATCACACACACACAATCGCACATACACACTCAAACCTCATTATAACAAAGTTGCATCTTACACGAAAGTAAGTTTGTTATATCCGAAAATTTGTTATAAAGGCTTATTCCCAGCGCTATAGCTATTGCAAGACTATTTTTCACTAACCTTGTTATTACTAATATTTCGTTGTATCCTAGGCTTGTTATATCAAGGATTTGAGTGTATGTAATATTCCCACGGTTTCTATAATGGCAAAGCTGATTCTTTGTGAGGTGAGATGTCATAATTTTTTATAAAATTCGCATGAAACTTTAATGTTACACACTACTACACAGCAGATTAGAGTTATTGACATATAACAATGGCAATGGTGTGGGAAAAGTGGCACAGACGACTCTAGCTGCTACATTTCTTGATTGATGATAAGATTGAGCTATTCAGTGCTTTAAATGACCGAGTGCTCTTCAGTGAGCTAATTACACTAAATTTGTTTTGCAGTTCCAAAAACCCAGAGGAGTCTGAACTCGAAGACACGCTTAATCAAGTGGTGAGTTTCACGGGCAGCGGCATGTCCCTTTGTTTGGGGGGAGGAGGGCTGTTTCTTAATTGTTTGCTGCTCTTGAATGTCTCAATCGGGGTTGATGTTGTAATTTACTGAAGCCCAGAATCTTACTTTGCACCGCCTAAATTTTTAATAGGCCTTGGAAAATTTCTAGCATACAGTTCACAAGATGTGTGAAGTGAAAATGCTTTGTATGGCCCTCACACCGGCCCTTATTTTGTGCTGCAAAACATGAGGTGCGGGCCACAGGCTTAGGTGGTTCAGTTTTATCGATACCCTTGGCACCCATACCCAGGTCCCAAGTTCTGTGGAGAGGTTGAGTGTAATTAAGACATCTTTATACGTAACTCTGTGATATGTGTACCAGTGCAGCGAAAGTGTTTGAGACATTTGTTGTTATCTGTAAGGACATGCTGTTGCAGTAGTCACGATTACCCGTGCCATCTCTTTCTGCAAATTTTATTATTTACGTAATTGAGGAACTCTGTACTAGGAACTCTGTATTTGTCAAACCTTGCTATGATGAAATTGCCACAAGAATAAAGGGTGTTTCCACATTGTATGAAACATAAGGTCTTGGTCACCATTTTTGACCTAGGCATTAGACCCAGACACTGGGAAATTGCTGGCAGAGTTCTCATATAGTATGGTCCTCAGTAGCACTTAACAGCCTTTACCTTTCACAGTGATACAATCCTTATCTCATAATTCTCTCATAATTCTCCACGCGACAAAATAGGTGGAAGTTAAGCAGGGGGGAATGTCACGGCAAAAGAAAATACGTCTCAGACCTCGTTACCTTGGGGCACCTCTTTTTTTTTTTTTCTTGGAATACGCCGCTTTTCAGTGTGATCGCGCACGTACTCGTGGACAAGCGGCGGTCTCCTGCCGGTGCCTGGTAACGATGAGCCCGCCATGCTCAAATCAGTTAATGGCTGTTACCAGAGTCGTATATTTCTTCTTGGCTGTGACAAGTGATTTTTGAGATTGTAGTGTCATTTGCCGAGGGAAGAAAGCAATTTTTAGCTTTGAAAATTTATTGTGAATTAAAAGCCGCGTGCTGCGCTGTAATATTTGCCTCTCATGTTCTCAGTAGCCTCGACTACCAATCGGCAGCGTTTTCTGACCATGTTTAATAAGAGTTGCAGGGCCCCTTTAAATTTGAAGGGGGACTTCACGGCAAAGCTAATTTCTCCTGCATAGGTGCTTTCACAACTTAGCAATATACCATATTTACTCGATTCTACCGCGCCCTCGATTGTAACGCGCGCCCAGTTTCCACGACGAAAAAGAAAAAAAAACTAAGACATCGGTTGCAACGCGCACCCATTTTTCTCGTTGGCCCGCAAGATCACACCACTCGGGAAAACGACTCTTTTCGGGAGCGTCTTTCGTTTAAATATGAGGTTTGGGGGAAGCTTGTGCCTATCTGACGTGCAACGGAGCATTGCTGTCACTCTAGTTTTACCGTGGCCCGATGTGAGCACGCGAACTTGCTTCGCCCCCTTCTGCTCGACGGTTGTGCTGCCAGGCCTGTCGAATTAAAGAGGCGTCTGATCGGCATTCCCGATTTGCCCAAGCAGGTAGTCGTCGTTGTGCCGCAAGTTTAGGACAAACCTCTGAAGACTGTGAAGCTTTTCTTCGTACTCCTCCGGCAACTTTCGGCATATGCCCGTTCGCCTTTGGAGGGAAAAGCCTTTCCTCTTCATAAAGTTAGTTAGCCAGCACCTGCTCGCTTTAAACTGGCTCCGCATTAGCCCTTTTTCTAAGGCTAACTGCATAGCCTGCACTTGGAGCAGTTCTGTCGTCACAGGCCGCTGTGCCGCTCACTGCTTAATCACATATTCGCCCAGCAGCTCTTCAATTTGTGGAAACCGACCCTGCTGTGTTCCACTGAAGCCTTTGCGTGAATCTTTGCTGTCGACAATATTCTGCTTTTGTTTCCGCCAGTACCGCACGCAGGTATCGGGAACTTTGAACGACCGCGATGCGGCCCGATTTCCGTCCGTTTCGGCACACGCTATGACTTTTCTTTTAAAAGCGGCATTGAAGTGCACTCGTCGAGTTTTTGTAGTCGGCCCTTCCATGCCGTCGATGCTAATGCACTACAAGATGACGAACTCCTCAGCACACGTACGAACTGCCGCACATGGGAAACACATAGGCAGAAATGGCCGACCCGCCATGCCGACGCACAGAGGGGGCGGCCATTTCGGAAGTGCCTATGGCAATAGAATGACCGTATTCATTTTTGTTTTTTTTCGTACTCGATTCTAACGCGCATGCGATTTATGAACTCGCTTAACCGGAAAAAAGGTGCACGTTAGATTCGAGTAATTACGGTAGATTGTAGTGAAACAACCTGTACAGGCAATGACATGCGGACCAGTATACACCTATTTGTTCATTGTGAATACTTCGAAAATATTCGATAGTTTAAGTTCAATCGGAGCAAATTCGAATACTCAACTATTCGTTCGAATATTCGAAGCATTAGAATATTCGCACAAGTGTACTTTGGTGTGATTCTCTGACACAACGAATGGCCTGGCCGCGAGGCTGACTTGGTCGTGTGTGATGCATTACAGCTTTTTAGCAACCAAAATAATGCTACATATTTTTACACATTATTGTGGGTGACATCCTTGACTGCAGTCAGAGTGGTTTAAAAGAATATATTAAAAATGGCATTTTTAAAAAACTATTTTCAAACTTTGTGTTTTTTGGTAGACCACTTACGTTTCAGCTCAATTTTAACGTAAAGCTGAGTGCAATGAAGCCACGAAAGTTATTTTGAAAAGGGCACAAGTATTGAAGTTTATATGTGCCAAAATTTATCATCCTCAGCTTAGTTTGTTTACAACAATAAATTCCTGTAATACTATGTACAGGTATTTTGTGCAATTTGTAATGTTTGTAATTTTTTCTCTAAAGTGCTTTGACAGACTAAGAAAAACAAAAATCTCATAAGATAGTATTTCACTCGTTCTTGCAATGGAATAAATAATTGACTTGAGAAAGTGCCGTTTTTTCCTCTAGGTGTGCTCAAAGTTCACGAATTGCGAAACTGGCAAAAAAAGTGTTAGTTTGCGGCGACGATTTAGATATACAGTGAAACCTCATTATAAGAGACATGCACTGGGGAGCAGTGCTCGTCTTCTGTACAAGATGTCTCTTATAAGCAAGGTATCACGTACGCATTTTTTTGTCACATACTCTTTCAATGTAGGCACACTGGTGTCTCTTATACTCATTTGTCTCTTATAAAGGGGCTCAAATAAGCAAACAAGATTTGTTTTCCCCTAAACTAATTTTGAAGCCATTGTTCTGGGAGTAATGCACAGGCCTGCATCAAGTTTCATTGAAATTGGGAATGGTGAGCAGGACATGTTTTTTTTTTCCTATTTGGACACACTCTGTATCTTTGTTAAAAATTATATTCATTATAAGCATGCACTCATTAATGTGCGGGTACTGGCAATAAACTTCATATGTATGTGTGTGTGTGTGTGTGTGTGTGTGTGTGTGTGTACAATACACATGCAAATGAAAAAAAAATTGTGGGTTTGATTTCCCGCCCTCTCCTCCCTCCTCTTTCAGCTTCATCGCAGTTTATCATATTAGGTAGTTTTAACTGATAAAAGTGGGTTATTTGTAGCAATGCATGAAACGAAGTTGAAGCTTTACTTTCATATTTGGAACCTTCTGACTTCCTATCGCTCTCAAGATCGAAGTCTTTCGATGTTCTCGCTCATTCTCAGGCTGCGGGCTGTGACCACATGTGCTGTTCTCTTCTTCCCTGTTCGCCCCCATACAGATGATAGTGTTCAAGTACATTGAAGACAAAGATGTGTTCCAGAAGTTCTACAGCAAAATGTTAGCCAAGCGGCTAGTACAGCACATGTCAGCCAGCGATGATGCTGAAGCAAGTATGATCTCCAAGCTCAAGGTGAGGTTCTGTGCATTACTGCAGGTGGTTTCAGACTGAGTCCCGCAGGCCAGTTGTGCCACTTCTATTTAACAAATAACTGCGTGCGTTTATTTGAATGTCATATTGTAAATGCTCTAAATGATAGTGAATGAAATCCTGCCACTTTTTTCTGTATTTTTGACTGCAGGAGTTATACTTGGTGTTATGAAAATATGGGTATTGTTATGCTTTAATACAGTCAATATAAGTGTGCCAACAAAATATAAATTTAAGTAAATACAGTAAACTCCCTTTAAGACGAACTCCAAGGGGTCTCGATCATTTGTTCGTTTTATGAGGAGTTCGTCTTATCAGAAGTACCCCCAAAAACGAAATGCTAACATGCCAAGCACATTTAAATATGTTGCTTGAAAACACTGAAGGAAATATTGTTACAGTGGGGAGGAAAAGAACAAGAAAAAGCATTTATTTGGCTCAGCTTGATAGAAACTGTGCTTTCAAGTAGAGTATTTAGACTAATCTAGCAAGTACTCAATTACACGATTCAATAATAAATATGCTAATGAATAAATTTCCACTACATTTTAACAATAAAACTGTAGCACGACCCTTTCTTTACCTACAGGTTAAGGGTGAGGGAGATACCAGCTTCATGCACTGACCTTTCTTTTCCACTTATCTTGCTTTCTTTGTCCACGTCACAGTTAGCTTTCGAAATGCTTTAAGTTTTGGCACCAGAAGTCCTCTCTCTCCCTTTTTTCATTTTGCTTTCTCAGTTTACCATCGAGACTATAATGTTTGTTCCCCAGAATATTCGTCGTTGTTGGTTGCTGTGAGAGTTCGTCTTAACAGAAGACTTGTGTTACGCAATTCGTCTTAAGCGGATTTTTTTTTGCATTGAGTCTATGGGAAACCAAACAAATACTTTCGCATTGTTCGTCTTAAGCAAGAATTCGTCTTAACAGAGTTGGTCTTAAAGGGAGTGCACTGTAGTTTGGGAAGATGTAGTCTTGGCATATTTTTCTTTAGCAGTGTAGTTCGTACAGTGCATTTGTACCATCATGCGCATTGATAAGTTCTAGCTGGTCAAAATTGATCAGAAATCCCCCTCAGTGTACCTCTAATCTAATGTACTTGGCATGCAAAACCTCCATTTTGTTTTGAATTGAATTGAATAGAAGTTTATTTGTCCTGAAATTCTTACAGGATCGGGAGCAGAGGCTAAAGGCTATATAGCCTGACATGGGGCCTCTGCTCCTAAATACAGTTTGGCACGCAGGCCGCTCAATCTGTCGCATATGTTTTCAGAAATAAATATATAACACAACAAATAACACACAGAAATAAATAAATAACACAACAAATAAACCATAACACAACAAAATTTATCATTGTCCTGTTACACAATTTCAGGGAAAACATTAGAAAATAACTTCATCACAAAAGCGTCATCTGAAAAGAAACTTCATCAATACAGAATGTAAAATAAAGCATAAAAAAAAACAACACATAACTCAAATTCGTAGATAGAATGTAACAAATCAAGTAACAAAAACTTTAATAAGCATACTCAATATCATGGTTCATTAGGATGGACTTAATAATGGTGTTCGAAGGTACGGAATTGAAATCTATGAGACCGTGTAAACGATTTAACATTGTGGGTATTTGATACTGAACGTGTTGCTTGCCATAACTTGTCCTTATTGCTGGGATTTTTCGGCGTGGCTGACGCATGGTATAATGAGTGTTGTCAGGCGGGTTCTGAAGACACTGTGGCTTGTTTTGTTTAATCCGCTGCAGAAGTTTGAAATGATACAGTTTTGTTACCGTTAGTAATGCGTATTTTTCAAAGAGTGGCAGTCATGTATGTAAAATGAATGTTTTACTGTTGTTATTTGAGTGGGCAACAGTACTTTCTTATATCTGTCCAACCTAGTTAATTTGCAGACTTTTCGCATTGCATTTATTTGCATGAATTAGTTCTCCCAAATCTGCCCCTTTTAGCCGTTCACTTACACCTGGCACACTGTACTAGCTGTGTTCCGGCAGTTGCGACCTGTGCTTGCTGTGTGCGCTTGTGAGCATGTTGTCTTGTGAACTTGCAGCAAGCCTGCGGCTTCGAGTACACCTCGAAGCTTCAACGCATGTTCCAAGACATTGGAGTAAGCAAGGACCTGAACGAGCAGTTTAGGAAGCACATGTCTAATACTGAGGACAACCTTGGATGTGAGTTGCTCTTTCTATTCTCCTCTCTGGGTGACTTAGAGTCTTTGTCTGCTTGGTAATAACTGCATCAAGAAAAATACAAAAAAAAACTAGTAGCTGCAGAGGTTTGCTTGTGCAGTGTAAATGTTTAGCGCAGGATGTCGCTGTTTATTTGAAAGAAATCAGTTTTAAAAAATCAACCTGCCATGATGGTGTAGTAGTTATATTGCCAGACTGCTGACCAGAAGGTCATGGGATTGAATATTGGCTGCTGTTGCAGCAGCATTTTGATGGGGACAAGTCCTCCTAGACTTAATGCCTGCATTGTGAGCTAAAGGGCTGGTTCCTGGCCCCTTCCTGTTCTCTCCTCCGCTCCACCAAGCAGTGTCGACTGAGAATACTTGCTGCGGTGGTCGTTTTAAACCTTGCAGCTTCGGAGATTAAAGCAATGTGTACAGCTGTCCCGGAGGCAGCGCTTTGACTGGTTTGTCCTTTTAGCATGATTCTGAACGTTACATTATGACACTGTTGTTTTGGCTACTTGGAATTCAATAGTTTTTTTTTTCTTTTCTTGGATTGTGTCGGTGCCTTTCTGTACGTGACATCATTGTTTGTATATCCTATGTAACACTCCTGCTTGGACCAAGAGGTCTGCAGTATACTTAAATAATAATAATAAAAAAAAACGGCCGTGCACAGAGGCGTAGTAATGCACGGAGGCTTGATAATGGTAGGCAGAAAACATGCCAATACGGCTTAATCGCTGACAACCCTTCTGAGAAGCATTTTCAGCTTACTGCTGAGTAGTGCATGTCGGCTAGCTCTGCTAGTGGTGTGCATACATCACAAGCGCACCGTGCAGACACGATGTCTTCATGAACTTAAGCCACTCGCTATCGCCGTGCCCATGTGTGACAACTAGGAATGATTTGCTTTACGTGGCAGCAAACTCAGCGTATCGGCGGGAAATTTGTGATCGTTTACGTGTGCGCATGCAAGCAAAGGGCAGACGAGTCATTCTCTGTTCTGCCAAAAACATTGTTTCCTAATACTTTATGCATGATAGGTGCATCTATTCCGTGCTTTGCTGGTAGCGGCACTGATCACGAAATGCATATGAAGTAGGGTTTGTGCGGCAAGTAGTGGATGTATTCACGAAAGCTTGAGTGCGTGCGCACCAAAATGCCTGCAACTGAGGCATTAAGGGGAGATGCTACTCGGAGACTCTTTTTCTTTAATATTCACCCTAGAGCAATGAAAATTAAGTTGTTTATGGAACTTTTTATGCTTATTTCAAATATATAATTAGTTTTCTTGCAAGTTTAGCTCTGCAACGTGACAAAGTGAAACCCTAAACTCTTTTGACCCCCTCTTTTCATCCCTAAAATTCTGTAATTTTTTACCATTCATAGTTCCTATTGCTTCAAATAAAGTATAGAGTGCAAATAACTAATTAGGAAGCACATACAAAATATGTAATACACGTGAAAAATAATAAATGTAAAAAGTCCATATTTCACCTACTCTAGTAAAGGTATACTTATAATTGTTTATTATAGAATAAAATATGGAAATTTAAACTGGATAATTGCATTTGTCACACTCTGGAAAAAATTTGGGCAAAATTTTATGCAGATCCGAGCTTTAGAAGTGCCCAAAAAAGGAGGGGCACTTTGAAAAAAAGGGCAAAATTTGTGTTTTGAGAATAACAAGTTTTAAAGTTAACATTGAGTTTTATTCATGAAAGACATCATTAAATCAAATGAAATTTGTACACCAAAAAGAACAATTCTTCGTGTAGTGGCCACTGCGTCTAAAATACGCCAGCACCTAGAGTTTGTCCCTCTCGGCTTCTTTGAGCAGACTCCTCACAGACATTTCGCTCACAGACAGGGCCATAAAACGCTTACCAAACTTCTGCTCCATCTGGTAGAGCCTTGTGCCAGCTGCAAGCTAGGAAGAAGTTCGACAGGACTGCGAAATCCAAACTAAGTCCAGCGTCATGCTATTTTGTAGCCATGTTTGTGCCACATACCGTCGTACATAATGGCAATGTCGTCTCTGCTAAGTTCTCTCACTGCGAGCTCTTTCGACCTCTCAAAATTGGTGCTGACGTCATCCATTGCCGTATCACGAACTTTTCGGCTGACGGGTGTGAATGACTTTTGATACATTGGCTTTTGCAAGCCAACAACTGCCGCAAATTGGACCAGCTGCTTGTAGCCTATTCCTACAGAGCGTGCCGCACAACAGCTTTCACTTGCGAGCAATGCCTTTTTTCATTCATAACGGAGATAATTACACGAGAAAAGCATTGTTCAGCTGCGCTGCTCGAGAAGACATGGACCCCGCAAATAGGTTTCTTAGCACATACGTGCAGCGGCCAGTGGCACTCCCCGATTCGTACCACATGATATGCCAGTTGCGGCGCTCAGAAAATGCGCAGAAGAGTGCTTCTTTTTATTATTTCTTGTGCTGCATCCGCAAAAGAAACTGTTGTTATTTGAAGAGTGAGGCTCGACTCTTCGAATCATGCGATCAACCATTGCGAGCGGCGGCGCGTTATCAACGGCAAGGTGCTCGAAGACTGCACACTTTCGACCTTTCAACAGGCACCTTGTGCTCTTTAGATTCAATGATTTCCAGTCAAGTCTCAACCTGTATTATTTTATTCATAACAGTAGAGCTACTAATCTTATCAAAACAGACAAAAATAAAAAAAATCTTCAAAAAAACTCGCGTTTTTTGACCCGCATCTCCCCTTAAAGCTATTTTTGATGTATGTATAGTGAATAGGAATAGAAATGTGGGATTCCATCTTTTTTTTTGAGGGGGGGGGGCTGCTTGATTTTTTAAGATTATGTGGTCCTGAGGAATTTCATACAGTAAAATTTCGGTGTGAATCTAATTGAAGAGCAACCACTATTTGGAAAACATTAGAAATTTCAAAATGTACACACTCCTAATTTTTAATCTTGGTTATTGTAGTATCTCAACGAGTTATCTATCTGTGTCTGAGGTTTCTTCGGTAGTTGGCTTTATTTGACACTAATATTTTTTGTACTTTCTTTTATTGCCTTATATCTGCTGATTGTTTGATGGTTTGTCAAATTAGTGTTCATTAGCATGTGTGTGTGTTTCTTTTTATTCGCTTCAATGTATGTGCTGAAGTTGCATGGTTCGTTTGTTCCAGTGGATTTCAGTATACAAGTTCTGAGTTCCGGATCATGGCCGTTCCAGCAGTCATTCACGTTAGCACTTCCTCAGGCGGTAAGCTGTTTTTCATTGCCGATTTATCAACTCCGTACTCTTGCTGTTGAAGAAGTCACTTTTTGGTTGCTTTATGTAGTAAGCATCACACTTCTGCAGTTGGCGGTGCATTACATGTTTGTTCTAGTACAGTAGACTTTCAGCAAATGAAACTCTCTTATACGAAATCGCTGCATAGAACTGCCTCTAGTATGATTGGTCTTGTACTTCAATTGTGCACCCCTGTTTATCTCTCAGTAAATGAAACTCCTGTTAAACGACACACATTTTCCTGGTCTCTTTATGTTTAGTTTAACCCTTTAAGACGCTATGTACATAATTGTGTACACCACTCGTTTTCGTTATTTTCATCAAGTAGAGGTTAAAGAAGAGCAAGGTATATCATACTTTGGATAAATTGAACCTCCTGCATAATTAATTTGTCTTTATTTTACTTCATTTTGCAGTGTACTGATACATATGATCACTTTTCTGAAGGCACTTCCACATTTGACGAGTCGTGCGACGTGCCGCTTCCTGCAAGCGATGTGAAGAGCAGAATTTTTTTTTTGAAATACAGTAATACAGAAATACAGTAATGAAATACAGTAATACCTTTGTTAGTTAACTCAGTCGTAAAAACTAGGGACAATGAGAAATTTTGCGCTAATCGCCGGGAAAAATGAGCACTTCTCAGAAAAATAACTGTTACTTACTTGCTCTTCTGTGGCAGTTTCTCATCTTTCTTCTTGTGCAGGTTTAAAAAAAAAGTTACATACAAAACACTTTAATCGGCTGGGTTTTGCTGCACTGCCATTTTATTTAGCAGAAAAAAGCTGCCTAACTCTCGTTTGCTTTGCGGTCGTACTTGGGCCTAGGAAGGCGTTCTCCAGCTGCTTCAGCAGACAGTCCTGCTGTGGTGTTGGGTGGCAAGGTTGGCTTTGCAGTCGTACTTGGGCCTAGGAAGGAGTCCTCCAGCTGCTCCAGCTGACAGTGCTGCTGTAGTCTCGGGAAGGTTGGCCGCTCTGGCATTTCGCAGTCATATTATCAATGCTGCTTTAACGTCTGGGAACTTCGACCCTCGAACCCACTTCCGCTGGCTAGAGAAGCTCTGCTGAATCCATTTACCGCATAGTGCTGAATATAGGTCAAGATTTTTTTCCAAAAAATGTCACTAAAATGTCACCCCTCAACCTATATACTGGCCCTTGCCATAAACCAAAGGATCGTCTGGCAACAGGGAGTGTCGCATGCTTTTTGGGTATCAGCATCGACATCGCATCCTTGGGCCAACACCCGATGTATTCTCTGCTGACGCCATTTTTTTTTTCTTGTTCATTCTGTGCTCGCAATGAGTGGCGACCTTACTCTGCGGCCAGCTATGAATACTGGGTTGCGGCGCCCGTTCATCGCCGCGTTTCAACGAAAAGTTACTAAATTCGCGGAAACTAATGGCAACATAGCAGCACAGCGGCAGTTCGGAGTGTCCGAGAAAAGAGCCGGGTACTGGCGCAACCAAAAATCCAAAAGTCAGTATGTAACGCAAGGGAGACGCAGTTTCGCGGTCGCCGAGCTGTGCACCCGGAAGTCGAAGACAAAGTGGCGGATTTCGTTCGCGAGTACCGCGCCAGATTCCTTCCAGTGAATGTGGAGCTCATTCGCACAAAAGATGTCGAGCTCGCCCGTGAAGCCAGTCTGTCAAGGAAAGATTTCAAGGGGTCCATTTATTGCGTCCGTCACTTCATGTGATGCAGATGGTTGGCTGGGGACTCAGGCTGGTTCCGCCATTACCACTTGACGTGTCGTGACCGCTCTCCTGTTTTATAAAAGAGTGCAACTCTAAAACGCCTCATTATAATTTGCCTTTTGGCGCCACGTCGATATGCCAGAAGCTGCCAGAGATGTACAAGGACAAATTGATAGAGTTTCAACTCTGTTGAACAGCCTCCGGCGGCAGCATGGCTACATGCTAGGCCAGATCGGCAACGCCGGCAAAACGCTGGTGTGGTTAGATATGCAGTCGCCCACGACTGTTTGTGAACGCGGGCCAAAAGAGATGAAGCTTTTGTCGACCAGAAGCGAGCATTCGCGCTTCATCGTTATGCTTTACTGCATGGCCGACGGCAGACCACGTGAGAAGGGGTATTGCATGAGGCCCTAATGTGCGAGTGGATCCGCACAGTGTGGGAACGGTGGTCCGGAGCCGTCCTGCAGCACTGGAATATTCTCGTGCTGGATGCATTTCGCGGGCATTTGCCAGCATCGGTAAAGGAGAGCCTTCGCAATGGAAAGACGGATCTTGTCGTCATTCCGGGAGGGATGATGTCAACACTGCAACCGCTGGACGCTGTCCTTAATAAATCTTTCAAACACTGTAGGCATGCGTTGTACACTGAATGGATGGCTGGCGACAACTCGCAGACCCCGACAGGCCGGCTGCGCAGGCCACCTCTCGCGACGGTTTGTGGTTGGGTTTACGAGGCATGGAGGTCTCTGCCTGAAGAGATGATTGTGCGCGCATGTAGGAAGTGCTGCATCAGCAGCGCTCTCGACGGCACTGAGGACAACATGCTGTAGGAGGCGGCTAGTGAGAAGCAGTCGTCGTCGTCTGAGAGCTCGGACAGCTCGGAGGACTGAATGATGTGAATGAGTAAACGATTCCGCATTTTATTTGTTGTTTTTTATTTTGCTGGCAAAGGTAAAGGGGTCGACCTATATTCCGCATTATATGGTACATGCCTGCCAAGTCTCCCGGATTGTCCTGAAGACTCCCGAAATTGCGACAGTTTCTTCCGTTTGTACGGTTGTCATAAAAATCTCCCGGAAACTGAAATTTCTGTGCGTGGTCTGGCTGCATTGACAAAATATAGCCTAATCCGCTCCAGGCTTTTAAATGTGAAGCATTTCTTAGCAAACTTCGGCGACATTGAGCGTATCTATCTATCGATCTATCTAGCCGCCTACAACTTTTGGCTCTCCAGGCCGTTTCGATAATGGTATCGATACCAAACTTGGTATGGCATAACATGACTGTATGAAGAACATATTTAACTTGTAACATGAAAATCATGATATGGATGTCATGAATGTCATAATTTACATTTCATGGTTTTGCAGCTCTTGCGATGGTTCTGTTCGCATGACATGTTGCAAAACTGGTGTGGTGTGACATGACTGCATGGCGAACACAAGCGACAAATTCTAACATGAAAATCATGACATGCGTGTCATGTAACAATATGACTACATGCCACGCTCATGATGCGCTCGCGGTCAATTCGCTAGCGTCACATTACCAAAATTGGTATTAAAGTACGTGAACGGATGACGAAAGTATGTGGCTGGTGCAAACATGATAATCACGAGATGCGTTTCATGTAACAACATGGCTACTTGCTACGCTCATGATGCACTTGCGGCCATTTCGCTAGCTTCACATGTACCAAACTCGGTATTACATGACGCGAACTGACGAAATAGGTAAATGACACATCCGAACATGATAATCACGACATGCGTGTCATGTAACGTGTCTACATGCTACACTGATGACGTGCTTGCGGCCGTTTCACTAGCTTCACAGGTGCCAAATTTGGTATTACGTGACGGCAATGGATGACGAAGGTATGTGACTGCTCCAAACATGATAATCATAAGAATCGTGTCTCATGAGAAGATGACTACATGCCACAGTCAAGGCGCCAATACATTTAGACGTGACGCGGTGCGCATGCCCGCCGGCGTTCATTTCGTCACGTGATGCTGGCGTTGCTACGCCAGGCGCCGGTCTTGCCATATACTCGCAGGCCCGCCGCCGTTGCTTTGACGCATGCGTGTTTCAGCACGTCCGGCGTCCCTCCGTCACGGAAAGAGAGAGACACAGTGTTGTCTGGGTAACTGGCGCGAAATGCGACATGCGGCATTTTTTTTGCTAGCATAGCATCGCTGTGCCCAGCGTGCGCGCGCGTCATCGCTATATTAGAGTTTATTGGGCCCTTCATAATGCGCTTGTGGCCATTTTGCTAGCTCTGCATATACCAAATTTCATGTTACGTGATGTCAATAGATGACAAAATATATGACTGGTGCAAACAATATAATCCTTACACAAGTGTCATGTAAGAACATGACAACATACCGTGGTCATAGCGTGCTTGCGGCCGTTTCGCTAGCTCCTCATATACTAAATTTGGTATCACGCGACGCGAGTAGATGACGAAGGTAAACGACACATCCAAACATGATAATCGTGACAAGGAAGTCATGTACGACGTCACTTACCTCCACCTCGTAACGTTGTGCTGATTTTAAAGTGACATATCAACATTTCTCGTTCGTGCTTTGCATATCATCGATTCCCACTGTACATGGGATCTGCCAATTTTTTTGCTAACCTACCGCATTTTATTATAAACAAATTCAGGAGGCATTCATCAAAATGTAGAGTACAATTTTAGTGATACGAAACCACGACAGATGCGAATTCATGAAATTTCCGAGCCGAATTTCACAGTTCATGGGGCTAAAATTTGAATGTTTCCAACAATTTTCTAGTCGTGGCGAATGATTTGAACTATAATACCGACATCGTTGAACAAAAACGGAGAGCAGCGTGCCCAAAGCTTTGGGAGTGCACGTGTGACCAGCGCGCACCGTTTTCTACAGTGCGTGTTGTTGTCATTGCCATAACCACTTTGGCCGATACTACAGTCCTTGACACTATCAAGTATGGCGACAACGGAACTGACAGAACCCTGCAAGTGTGTCCGCGTCCAATGCTCGACCAGTCAAAGAAAGCAACGCTGCCTTCTGTAAACTCGGTGGACGAAACCACGGCAAATGCGATCATAGATAGCATAAAACGACTTAGTTTCGAAGGCATATGCAAATTGAAAACCAAACTACCGTTTGCCGCAACCGCCACGCACGAAACTGCGGTCGCGGCAAAGCGACAGCGATCTACGAGCCCCGAGGGCACGCAGCTAACGCAGTGGTAGATTAAAGGTAGTAAAGGCATAAAATAGGCAAGAAGCATTTTAGCGTTTCTGTCCTGTAGAATCTAGCAGCGAGCGATGATTTAACCCGCGCTTTCCCGGCAGCCAGCTGCACTGTCCCATCCATTCACGTGTTTCTTAGAAAGACATACGCTAGTTGAGGCTCTCATCTTAGAGGGAAACCCTACCCTTGAGTGTTCGGCTAGTTCAACTCATTATTAGACCACAATGTCGCTGTTTGCGCTTCTGCCACCCCCTCTTGTTTTTCGTGATGTTTTGTTTGTTGGGAAATAAGTTAATGTGACCCCCTTCCCGTTGCGGAAATCTTCTGTATTCAGAATCCTTGAACTTGGCAGGTATGCATCTAGCACTTTCTGCTTGTTTTTCAGCACTGCCGAAAGCGTAGACAAAGGGATGCCAAATTCCTGCGCGATGGTTGATTTTGTCGGCCTCCTTACTATACTTCCTTAAAAGAATTGATGAGCTTCTCTGTCATACTAACATATATCGGTACTCCTTTTTTCCCCGCGCAATCAACGAGTGGAACAAATTGCCACCAGAGGCTCTGGAAAGTGTCGATCTGAAATCATTTCTCCGTGCGTTACCTGCTCCATCTTTCTGAGTAGCTACACTCCCATTTCCTTTACAGTGCCTTTGTTCTTGTGCCCATTTTAGACAAATATTTGCCTTACAATTTGCCACGCTTGTAACTAACATGCCCGGATGTACTTTTTGAATTGTTGCTGACTATTCTTGTACTTGAACTTTTTTTTTTTTTTTTTTTTCACACAGCAAAACCTGCTGAGCACTACTTTCGTGCAGTTTTCAGTATAGCCTTGTATGGCACGGCAATTGTGGACTGCATTTCCAGTTTCCTTTCTATGTGAATCAACGCGTTCCTTTTTTTTGTACCACTGTATAATCTGTTCAATATTTTTTTTTTTTTTTTGTACTTCCTGCATTTGTGTTCATTGTACCGCCCACCCCTGCCCAAAGTCTGGCATTCAGACTGGCAGTATTCTCCTAAATAAAAAATAAATAAATAAATTAGGACAACCTTTCTATTGTTAGCGACTTGCACTGCTTTGACGCCATGCTTGCTGCATTCACGCTAAGTTGCCGCTCCTCACAGTCAGTGAAAAATTCGTACTGCGTGGTTTGTGCAGATGAATAGAAATCACACCTCAGGGAAAATCATGTTCACACTGCACAAAGCGAACGAGACAAACTACGCCAAGCGTGGGCAAAGGGTCTTTCTGCTCAGCACATGTGTCACATGACGTGCCACAGAATCACTTTGCAAAGTTGATATGTTGCTGGGCTGAGACTTCACGCACTTCGCATTCGCAGAAAGCATCAACGTAGTGGCAGGCATGGCTAATAAGAAAAAAGATCGACGGACTTCAGACATGGCAGCATCGGGCAAATCTTATGAAATAGTTCTGCGGCGGAGTTTTCGTTCCACTCTCAATCAAGATTTCGAGTTATCCACAATCTGACCCAAAAATACTTCGAGATGAAAGGAAAAATATACACGTGATCTATAGGAAAATGTTCAGTGCTACAGAAAATTTCAGCTTAGCCGATATTTTGTCCGAGTTCGAGCTAATGAGCTATTACTGTATTGGTTATAATGAAGTAAATAAAACATAGTTTTACAATAGATATAGTGTAAGAATAATCTGTTATAACGATTTTTCGAATAAAACGAAGTAATTTTCATGTAAGGTGCAACTTTGTTACAATAAGGTTTGAGTGTATCGAAAATTTCTTTACAAATGGTCATTGGTTTAATGTAAAAATGTTTCACTGCTATGAATTTCGGAATAACAAATTTTTCCGAATAACGTATTGAATTATATCGCCCTCGCATCTCGACAGTACTTGAAAATAACGAATTGCGAATATAAGAAGCTACTCATGGCAGTCAAAACAATGCTTAGCTCTGTGCATGCCGCTGTGGTCATAATCGTCATCAGAACGCCTGCGTATTTCTCTGTGCCTGCCCTATTAACATGTACAACAGCCCTCTCGCCATCACCATCACTTGTACTTGCTCGTTTTCCACATCGGGCTTCACCTCATTACCTTTGTTTTGTTGGGCGGCTCTGTCTGCGTGCTTGTTACTTGTAGTTTGTGGTGACCTCGCCACTCACCGTAGCGGAGGATCACCGCGGGTTCAGGCTTAGCGAGCCACAGGGGTGCGTTTCCGTCACCTACTCACGTGTAGTGCCCTGCTCCGTGCGCGCTCAGCTAACTAAGCGTTTAGCGTGGTGTGGCCAGACAGACAGCGTCCGGTTAACAGAAATACACACTTAATTGCCTTTGGCGGCACCCCGAACAACAGTACAACGTCCGCTCCCGGGATGCGGAGAGCAAAGGCTCCCACATTTGACATTCACGATAAGGGAAAACAGCGAGTACATTGCAGCTGGCAATGGCGAGCTTTGATACACCGGTCGGGAAAAGGTCCCTCGCGGCTACTGCGCACTCTCACGATGGCCAGTGGGCCTGGTCGCAAGAGTTAAGGCAAACCTCGTACACGTAGGCTTACAGCAAGTGTGGCTTGGTGTAGTGCGACCACTTCAAGCACTAGGCACCGCTGTTGGCTTAGCGTACGTTACCGAAGCTAACACTCAGGTAAACATGCCAGCCGGGGACGCCAAGGCACTCAGGCAGGCTACAGTCCGGCGATTCCCAAAGAGGACGGGGACGAAGGAAAACACTGCTTACCAGGCGCCGACCAACAAAGGAGAGACTTTACGGCGCGCACGTGACTCGGCCTCCCGGTTCTCGCAACCCCCGAGAACACGTGCCGTGCCCGCGCGTGGCGTCATCTATCGCCACACGCTGTTACCAGAGCATGAGAAAGGAAAAGGAGAGCGGCCGTACGGTGTAATACCCGCGAAATGGTCGCGGATGCCCTTCAGATCCCCACGAGCTCTGGAAGCAGCACAAAAGAAATGTGGCAACAGTGAAAAATTCGATACGAGTGACAGAGCAGATGAACTTGCCGAGGATTACCCGCAACACTTCCATAACTGGGCAGTGACGAAGCGTGCACGTCGGCTGTACTGATGACCAATAAGATTCACACCATTTGTTGTGATAAGTAAACGGTGATGAGAGCGAAGACTATGTTAAAACAGTGTGCAAAAACTAACGGAAAGAATTTCTATCGAACACTCTTCTCTTGACCAAAATAAAGTTTTAATCATCATCATCTAACACTCGTGCATCGAAATGCGCAAGAATGTGCACTCTGAAGAGTTCATTTTGCAGTAGTTGAGCTGCACCCATCAGGCAAATGCCACACTCTTGCTCAAATGAACGTCCACTCATTCCTTAATATTTCATGTTAGTTTTTCGAGTTCATTTTGCAGTAGTTGAGCTGCACCCATCAGGCAAATGCCACACTCTTGCTCAAATAAACGTCCACTCATTCCTTAATATTTCATGTTAGTTTTTCGTGTTTGTTAAAGAACAATGCAATTGGAAGATGTATACCAAGCACAGGTAGGCAACTCATTTGGTTGCATTTAAGTCTATTGTGGAAAGTTTTAATTTTTTTCACTGAGATTTTTCATAATAACGAATGATTTTTAGTGGACCCATGAGATTCGTTGTATTGAGATTTGACTGTACTTGATGCTTGAGAGGTTGGCTTAAAAGGAGGTGCTGTTTTCATTTCATGAAAGAAATGCAACATTGTTTCTTGAAGCGTCCCAGCAGTTGGTTTTAAGTGAAAGGCTTCTAGCACTACATAGGCACTGTGCATTAAGCAGAAGGTGCCAGGCAGCTCTTTTTTCATCCCATTGATAAGCTGTGTCATGGTCATTGTCTCCTGGTCACAAGATCATTCATGCTGTTTGTTTTGGTGTTTTGTACAGCTGGAGCGAAGCGTTCAGCGCTTCACCATGTTCTACAGCAGCCAGCACAGTGGCCGCAAGCTCCACTGGTTGTACAACATGTCTAAGGGGGAGCTGATTGCCAATTGCTTCCACAAGAACCGTTACACACTGCAGGTGAGGCACTTTTGAGGTGCTTAGAGTTACTAGCACCGGCAGTTGGCAGGTTCCATTTTTTAATTGCACCTAATCAGCAAAATCGGTTGATATCTCATTGGGGGGTCCATTTCGGAAGGGAGTCGGGGATATGTAGGCCATAATTTTGCATTTTAAAACTAAGGAAGTTTTTGGTAATTGTCACTAGGCAAAGGTAATGGCCATAGCTAGATTATCTAACGACTCAACTTGCTTATAACTGAAGACCTAGCACTTAACAATTGCACTGTGAAGAAACTTGTGTCGCTCGAGTGTGTGAAGCTTTTCCGTTTTCTTCTTGCCTTGCATATCACGATATTCCTACGCAGATTAGGCTGATTATTTAACAATTGCGGTTGACCAAATGTGCTGGCTAGCCTCTTGCAATTCAAGCACGTCGTAATGGCCTTGTTTTTCTTTCAGGCGTCCACCTTCCAGATGGCCGTCCTATTGCAGTACAACATTGAAAAGTCCTACACGGTGCAACAGCTTCAAGAAGGAACTGGCATCAAAATGGTAGGTTAAATAAATTTTCATTTGCTGGTCCTCTGTAGTTTGACGGAGTGAGTGTTTGTTATCTTGCCGAGTGGCAACCAAAGTGAGTCACTAAAAGAAAACGCCAGGTTATTTGCTTTTTGTTCAATACAATCAACATCCGATTTCTCGACGCCCGAAATTCCGGACATGCCTGATTTTCCGGACTCGTATGTGGCACCGTCAAGTTCCCGATGCGACTTATATACATTCAAAATCGAGTTAGATGCCACGGCTTTGGGTGGCGTGTTTACGTCAAGCGGGCAATCAAAATGGCGTTTACGGCGCTTCACCGCCTTCTGTGATGCACAGAAACCCATTTAAAAAGAAAGTAAGATTAACGGTGAGTTAACACCCTAAAGATAACGCAGCTATGTAGTTTTGCACAAAAAATAACCAGTAGGGGTGACAATGTGGAGGTATTTTTTCAATTATAAATTATGGAAAGCAAGTTTGGATTTCTAGCGCACTTCCTTTACAGTCACTTCGTCCGCCATAACATAACGTCTTCATTGCACTCGCTGTGTCGCTGTGTTGCGCGGTCTCGTGTGTTGTGTTGTGCGTCGTAGCATAGAGCAGATAGCGCCGTAGAACCTCGCGAACCATGGCGCCGCTTGGAAAGCAAAGTCGGCGAAGCTATGATGCCAAGTTCAAGCTCGCGCGCTGTTGAATTTGCCGAAAACCACGGGAACAGAGAAGCAGGGAGGCAATTCGACGTCAGTGAAAAAATAATCCGTGACTGGCGCAAGGCCCACAGCGTCCTTCGGACGATGAAGTCGACAAAGAAGGCCAACCGCGGCAAGAAGGCACGCTGGCCGGACCTCGAGCGTAGCCTGCGCACGTGGGTACTGCAACAACGAGCCGAAGGAAGAGGGCTGTCAACAGTGCAGCTGCGCCTGAAGGTGAAGGCTCTGGCAGCGGAGAGCAATGTTACGGGATTCAATGGTGGTTCGTCGTGGTGTTTCCGCTTTATGCGACGGAATCAGCTAGTTATGAGAGCCCGGATGACAGTGTGCCAGAAGCTGCCCGACGACCTTCAGGCGCAACTAGACAACTTCAGCTCATTCGTGAGGGAGGAAGTTGCGAAAAAGAATCTCACCGCGAGCCACATCGTTAACATGGATGAAGTGCCGCTGACATTCGACATCCTGCTTGGGAGAAGCATCGCCGAAAAAGGCCAGAAAACTGTCACGGTGAGGACAACAGGCCACGAGAAGTTCCACTTCACCGTTGTGCTCGCTGCTGCCGGGACGGCACAAAGCTGCCTCCCATGCTAATATTTAAGCGGAAAACCTTGCCGAAGGATAATTTCCTCCTACAGTGGTGATTCAGGCGAACACAAAAGGTTGGATGGACGAGGGAATGATGAGTGTGTGGCTTCACCGCTGTTTTTCCCGTCGACAGACGGATTCTTCCACGTGAAGCCAGGAATGCTGGTAATGGACAGTATGCGGGCACATATCACCGATATTGTCAAGAAAAGATCAGTTCAAAGACTGTATGCCAGTGATTATTCCCGGCGGCATGACGAGAGTGCTTCAGCCGCTTGACATTTCTGTCAACCGCAGCTTCAAGGCAGTTCTGCGACGTTTGTGGGAAACGTGGATGTCGGAGGGAGAACACAGCTTCACAAAAACGGGGCGCATGATACGCGCAGAGTTCGGCGAAGTGGCGAAATGGGTGAGTGACGCTTGGGAGTCAATATCTGCGAAGACCATTGTGGCGGGCTTTCGCAAGGCCGGTTTGAGAAACTTGTGTCGCTCGAGTGTGTGAAGCTTTCCTGTTTTCTTCTTGCCTTGCATATCACGATATTCCTACGCAGATTAGGCTGATTATTTAACAATTGCGGTTGACCAAATGCGCTGGCTAGCCTCTTGCAATTCAAGCACGTCGTAATGGCCTTGTTTTTCTTTCAGGCGTCCACCTTCCAGATGGCCGTCCTATTGCAGTACAACATTGAAAAGTCCTACACGGTGCAACAGCTTCAAGAAGGAACTGGCATCAAAATGGTAGGTTAAATAAATTTTCATTTGCTGGTCCTCTGTAGTTTGACGGAGTGAGTGTTTGTTATCTTGCCGAGTGGCAACCAAAGTGAGTCACTAAAAGAAAACGCCAGGTTATTTGCTTTTTGTTCAATACAATCAACATCCGATTTCTCGACGCCCGAAATTCCGGACATGCCTGATTTTCCGGACTCGTATGTGGCACCGTCAAGTTCCCCTTAGGGTCAGTGTGTTACTCTGAAATATTGGATGGTTATAGCCTTTGCCATTCGACGTCCGGACTTTTTGCCACCAACTCTAGTCTCGAAGTCACTATATCAATGCCGCCATTTTGGTCGATTTCGTAGCCTCAAACCTACCCATATTGCATCGCAAGTGTGACCTGCAGCACCGCACAAGAGGGCTAACGGTACCACGGCTGCCGTAGCTTAGTCAAACCTGTGGTCAAATCTGACTGTGTTCGTTCACGCGTTGTTCTGTCAGCTCTGCAGTAGATTACGTGCTGCTGCGCACTATCTTTAGCTTTCACGTTTCCCGATATTCAGCATCCATCGTGTTTCTAGCTGTTTAGCGCTGCACTTTTCGTCAAGCGAATTTGCCGAGACATCAGTCTCGCCTAGAGTGGCCGATGTGTGTGATGAATTCCCATCCGCGGACGATGGCTTCGGCGATCTGCATGCTGCTGGCGTTTCGATTCCAGTCGGGATAACCTTTAAGGGCTTTGCCGACGCTGACAAAGACCTCGAGCTGTGTGAGGAATGGACCTATGGCGAAATTATTAAAGTATTCCAGGATTCTGATGACTCCGACACCGAGATTGAAGAGACAGCGCTTACAGAGCCAAAGAGCTTTGGAGTTGACACGAGCACTAATGACACTGTCATAAGTGTATAGCAACAGCATGATATTTTCTGAAATTGAGGCAGACATCATTGCGGGCAAGTGGAAGGAAAGCTTTGCAAAAGAAATTAGGGCCAAATTATTGACCAATGAGGAAGCTCCGGCCGCATAGGATTTTTTATTTTCTGTTTCTTTGTTCCTTCTTTTTCTATATAAACATCTCTTTTCATCAGAGCCACCTAAATGATGTGTTTTCTAGATTGTAACGGGAATCTTGTACTTCTGCTGTGACACTCTCCATCAGTGAAAAATACCGGTAAAGAAAATGCATTTTCGCCTGCATTCGTTCTTCCAGACTGCCCAATTTTCTGGACATTTTCTCGGTGCCTTTGGGGTCCGGGAAATTGGACATTGTCTGTAATGAGGTGCCACTAGTTTGCTTCAGAACTTGGCGATGTAGTAGAAGTCCTAGCTGCTTTTTCTGTACTGTTGCATTATAGAGCCCTCACAAAAAGCAGTTTAGTTTGTGTTCCTATTTGTGCCATATCAAAAGCTCTATACAAACCATGCTTGCCATGCGCTTCGTTGGTACAATGGTTACAATGCTTGGCTGCTGACTCGATATCTGGTTCAATTCCTGGCCATGGCGGTTGCTTTTCAATCAAGGCAAATTGCCAGAGGCTTTCGTACTGTGCGAAATCGGTGCTTGTTAAGAAACATCGGGTAGTTAAAATTTCTAGAGCCCTCCACTGTGGCATGCCTTGTAATCATATTGTTCGTTTAGCATATAACATTCCAGGTTTTATCACCAAACTGTGCCTGTGTGTGCTTGTAAACAGTGCGCGAAGAATTGCTTGTGTCCTGCAAACAACAGCATTCCCTACCATACGGCCATTGTACTATCTGTCATAGGACGATTGTACGTCCAGTTATCACGACTGACTGGCACGCACATCCTGTTTGGCAGCTGTGCGCCTATGTGTGTTTGTTCATGATAAGCGGACCGCACACTATACCATCGCGAAGGCTTGCCGCTGTTCAGGTTTCATTTGACGCCGATAGTAGAAAACAGAGCACAGTTAAACCTGTTTATAACAAACCTCCATATAAAGAATTCCTGGATATAACAAAGTTTTTCTATTCCCTGTCGTTGCTCCATAGGAGCACATGTATTCGTGACCTCTATGTAACAAAGTAACTGCGGGAGAATTTTGCTCCGCATTTCGGCATTTTGGTACGAGCATGCATCTTCCGCCGCTGCCCCACCACCGCCAAAGCGCGAAGCGGTGGCGGCGGGCACGGGGGCCGCGTCTGCGCGAGGTGGGCAGGCAGGCCTGCACCTTACAAGCGGGCGTTGCCCCCTTTCTCCCCGCCACAGTCGCATGCGCAGGTGTGCCACCTCCCACCCCCTTCCAAACAAATTTTAAAGAACTACATTTGCGCGTTGGCAGTGCCACGCTTCTAGTTAGTTTCACATATGAGTGGCCATGTTGCATATGGAGGGCGCTTTACGGCACGTTTCCGCGGTAATCGTGTCTGTGTTCGTGTCGTTCGCTCTTCATTTTAGACGTCGTGTGCGGTTGCATAGTTTCACTGCGCGCTCGTGGTGTGTCCCCCAACGATGTTCAGCTTTGCTTTTTTTTTTTTTTTTTGCGATGGCAAATATGTGTATGGGCAGTTTCGGCTGGGTTTCTGCTGCCGCTGCCTTCATTCACCGTATATGTATAGTATATGTATATATACCTATATATATAGAAACTCAAAAAAAAAAAAAAAAAAAAAGCCGCCCGCGCTTGGCGCTCAGCTCGTCATGATGTGGCGGCTGGCGCTTATCTACCACGTAGATTGCCTCGTTGATGCGAAGGGGGGAGAGGGGGTTTGATGTTTGTGTGCACCCGCTTATCCTTCGGCGGGGGGAATCGCGCGCCTTTGACTGGAACGATTGCGTTTGTTCTTTTCACAGTCCCTTCACGTTGAAACCGCACTGATACTCACCAAAATAGCAAGCGCGCCTGCGATCACGACCGCCCTTAAAATCCAAGTTCATTATTGCTACTCGAGTGATTCCCCCTCCCTCCCCACGTTGTTTCATGCTCGTTTAAGACAGGTGGTTTACTTTCTGTTTGAGCATTCGATGGCAGTTCTAACATGCAGGAGATGTTATACACTTGCCAGGCTATAGGGATGGGCCGACTCATTTGATCTCTGCTTCAGCAGTGCTCGCGCGCTTTTACCCGCTTGTGAAAGTTACAATGTGCGGGGGCACGTTGTCAATTCAGACTTGTTGCGAAACATGGCCGTGACAGCAAGAACCCACCGAGAGTGTCCATATGATTGCTATTGCAATAATAACACAGTTTTTTGCTGTAAAATGAGTGTTTGGGGTTAGCTCTGCCTTCAGTCCCCCTTTTGTTTAATTTGCACGTTTACAGTAGACTCGCGATAATTCAAACTCCGATAATTCGAACTTTCGGTTAATTCATACAAAATTCAAAATTTTGGTTGGCTCGCTATGCTTTCAATGTATTTAGAAGCCGCTTAATTCAAACTTCGTCATTCGGTTAATTCGTACTTTCTGCCTGTCCATACCGGAAAATTTCTGCTGATTTGCCGGCAATATTTGAAAATTTGCGTGCTTATGATTATCATAATAGTCTGATATTGAAAAATAAGCGCCTTAAAACTTCAAGGGAAAAGGTTTTGCCACACAATCATTTCTCAGCATTCCGCGCCGCGGTGGAAAAAAAAATGAAAAACAAAAACGGCCCGGTGGTTACGAAGCTGGCTCGCGGCTTATCTCTGCTTTTCCGGCGTGCCGGTGGCGCCGGCCGACTCCGAAGCACGTGACCTGCCCACAGAATGCGTACAGGTCTGCCCGTCTTTCTTACGTGCTGCGCATTTTTCGATCGACCATGTCACCGCGAGGAAAATATCGGACACTACCCCTAAAAGAGAAATTGGCCGCTATCCAAGAAGTCGACGCTGGGGTAAAGAAGACCGAAGTGGCACTGAAGTATGGAATAACCAAAAGTACTCTCACAGCCATTCTGAAAGCCAAAGACAAGCTGCAGAATAACGCGAGCCGCTTCGCTCCCGATCGGAAAAGGCTTAGGGAAGCTGCGTACCCGGATCTCGAAAACGCCGTGCTTCTTTGGCTCAAGCGCGCACGGAGCTCCAATTTACCGATAAATGGGCCAATCCTACGAGAGAAAGCTGAAGAACTTTCCTTGCGCTTGGGAATTGAAGATTTCAAGTGCAGCGATGGCTGGATTTCTCGGTTCAAGGAACGCCACGGTCTCTCCTTCAAAACAGTGAGTGGTGAAGCAGCAGTGGTCGATGAAGCTGTTTCTTCTGACTGGCGGCAGACTAGACTTCAAAGCCTGCTGCTTGAATACTCCCCGGCTGATGTATATAATGCCGACGAAATGGGGCTGTTTTTTAAGTGCCTGCCCGATCAAACCTTGTGTCGCAAGGGAGAGCGTTGCACTGGCGGAAAGCTGAGCAAAGAATGGTTAACCGTCATGGTTTGCGCCAATATGGACGGAAGTCACAAGCCAGAACTCTTCGTTGTGGGCAAGTCAAAGCGTCCCAGGTGCTTTAAAGGCGTCCGAACGCTCCCAGTTGCATATGACGGAAACACGCGAGCCTGGATGACGCAAGCTTTGTTCGAGGGTTGGCTCCGCAAACTGGATGGGCAAATGAAGCGAGCGAAAAGGAAAATTTTGCTCATTGTTGATAACTGCCCTGCGCACGGCGACGTGGAGGGGCTGGAAGCAATTCGCCTTGAATTTCTGCCTCCTAACACTACAGCTGTCCTCCAGCCCTGGATCAAGGGGTAATCAAATGCTTGAAGCTTAATTACCGGAAAACACTGCTAAAGAGAATGCTGATATGTATGGACAATTCCATGCCTTACAGTGTCACACTACTCTCATCGTTGGGCATGCTCGCCGACGCATGGAATGCTGTCACATCAGCAACAATAAGGAACTGCTTCGAGCATGCCTTCCGCATACCTGGCTGCAGCATTGCCACTTCATCTGACTGCTTGCAGACTGAGGGCGACGATGAAAGCCAAGTGCTGTCTGCTCTAAAAGCGCACAACATAGCTGCCGACCTCGACAGTTATGCAGCTACTGATGATAACCTGTGCGTGTGCAGGGAGGACACACTCGATGACTTGGTGGCAGAGGTGCTGCCAGCACAACACAGCAGTGAAAGTGGAGAAGAACCGGAAGTGGAAAATGTGACAACTGCACAGGCTTTCCAGTACATTGCTAAAGTGAGAAAATTTCTGACAACAACAGAAAACTCTCAGAATCAACTGGCAGCACTTACTGGCATCGAGAGCTTTGTGCTAAATGCGCATGTGGCAAATAAGCAGTTGACCATCCATGATTTTTTTTAAAAGGTCTAGTCAGCAGTAGATAGTCAATAAACTTGTTGACCATACATGCACCGCTCTCTGTTTTTGTGTAGTTAGGATCTAGAGATGCTTAAAAGTGTGAATATAGATGTCTGATCATAATTTGTGCTGTCACCTTATCCAGAGTCGCATATATGAGAACTTCTGATAATTCAAACAGCCTGATAATTCAAACAAAATCCAGGGGTCCCTTCAAGTTTGAATTAATGAGAGTCGACTGTATTTTCCAAATTTAGGTATCAAACCTGCATAAACGAAAACCTCTTTATAACGAATTTTTCTAGGAATTTATCAATCTCGTTATATCCAGGTTTAACTGTATTAGACAGGCAGAAGGAATATGGTTGACATGTTCTGAGCATTTGTAAACTTAGTCTTGCGCTGTACTGAAGGCATGCTGATTGCACCTTCTTGCTGCAACGACACTTTCTTATTCTAGTATGCCTTCTTAATGAGCTAAAAAGAGGAGGTTTTGTTTTCTTCTCCCTCCCACTTCTTTCCAAAGTGGGGAGGAATGATGCTTCAGGAAAGCTAACATTTCGAATAGAGGACTTCTCCAGTCTTCAAGTTTAAACGTCGGTTTCATCTATGTTTCCTGTTGTGCGATTTTTTATCGATTGAAGCCTCTCTCCTCTTGAACGTTGACTGCTGATATTTTATTACCTCCAGTATTCAATCAAGGCTTTGCAGTTACAACTTTATTTAGCCACTCCTAATTGTAGCATTTGCCAATGGGAGTCTATAAAACACGGTGTCTCAATATCCAAACAACATTGTGCACAAGAGAGAAACGTCTCTGATTATAGTTTGCAATCCATGTACAGTGAGTGTACTGATATAGTGGATCTCTCTTTTGCAGGACATACTGCAGCAGGTGCTGCAGATCCTGCTCAAGTCTAAGCTGCTCGTGTGCTTGGAGGACGAAGACTCGTCACAGGGGGGCAACTTTGAGCTGCGCCCGGATTCGGTCGTGTCCTTGTACGAGGACTACAAGAACAAGAAGCTGCGCGTCAACATCAACGTCCCTATGAAGGCCGAAATGAAAGTGGAGCAGGAGACTACCCACAAGAACATTGAAGAGGACAGGAAGATCCTCATTCAGGCATGTGGCTTGGACTGCATGAAGGGCATAGCCAGAGGGGGGGGATCACGATTGAATATGGTTATAGCAGTTCACCCACCCAGTTGGTGGCTGTACAATTATCTCGCATTAGTTAAGCTTCTTGTAACGAGACAACGCAAAGAACATAAGGTTGCAAAAGACTAGTTAGCCTTTAAAGGACACTAAAGGCAAATATTAAGTCGACGTGAAGTTCTGAATATTTCAAAATGTACAGTAGATTCTCAGTAAATGGAAATCTTAAACAGAACTGCTGCTTGAATGGAACAACTGCTTATAGCACGATTGGTTTCAAACTTGTACTTTGCAGTCTTATTCATCTCTCAGTAAATGGAACTGCTGTTAAATGGAACATTATTACCTGGTCCCTTCAAGTCCTCTTAAATGATAGTCTACTGTATAGAGTGCAGCACTTTGCTGTCTTAACAAACTTACTTGAATCTAGGCCGACCCCCAGAAGTCCAAAGCTCAAGCGAGAGAGAGAGAGAGAGAAAAAAAAAAAAAAAAAAAACTGACCTCAAATGTAGGCCAAACGAAACAGTGAGGACAGCGTTCACAAAGAGAAAATATTCATTGAACATGAAGATGAAACTAAGCAGTTAGTTCATGATGCAAATAACTCGAGAAACATACAGCCAAAAGTCCTGTTGCGTGTGTTCTTTGTCATCGCTTTTTTTTTTTCGTGCTGTTTCTAGTTGCATCATAAAGATGCCGCGCTTGCCGATGGTGTGCTCATTCAGAGTCATTGCTCCTTCCCTCATCTTTGATTTCTTTGTCGCTGTCTTCAAACAGGGCACAATCTTCGGTGCCATCAAGCGCATCGGATATGCCGCACTTCTTAAAAGAGCGCATAATCAAAGTTCCCTGGTTGCCGTACCATGCTGCAGCCCCTCCAGCGACGCTCCACTCCAAATTCCCGCCCGGCTTGAACTGAACATTGGACCCTCCAGCTAGGACAACGTTCTTTTTATAAGCAGCACTGTAATGACACCACCTGTTTGACGCCATTGAAGTGCGCCACTCATAGACCCCTCGAAGTGCGACTCGCTATGACAAGCGCTCCCCTCAACACTCGCCACAATGATCGAAATGGCAGCCTCACGTGTGTACTTACGCCAGGTGTTGGCTTGGCTATTAATGGCTATAATACCGTATCGGTGGTGCTAGTTGTGCTCAATGAAAAATGCTGCATTTTTCAAAATTTTCAAATCAAAGCAGAACCTAGAGTTCAATGAAAAAAAAAAAAAAACAAAAAGAACTATCGGCCTAGTTTCGAATACAGTAGTTTTATGCGTTTAGTCTTTACGAGACTTTGACGATGGGTTGTGCATTGTTTTGTGTTCCAGGCGGCTATTGTGCGTATCATGAAGATGCGCAAGACACTCAAACACCAGCAACTTCTTGCGGAAGTTCTAAACCAGCTGTCCTCGAGGTTTAAACCCAGGGTGCCTGTAATTAAGGTGAGCGTCTGCCTCTATGTTACTATGTTTTAGAGCAACGCGGCATGGCCAGAGGTGGTCCAACTGTGCCCTTTGCACAACTTTGCTACAATGCTGCCTCTATGCGCCTTGATGCGCCACTTCAAGTGCAACGTGCAACTTGCACCAGGTGCACTTAGTTTCACCCTTCCGTATGCTTGCACAGCAGTGGAGTGTTCTTGGCCTAAGTTATTCTGGGTACGACTCAAACACACCAGCAACTTTCTTTTTATTGTCACAGAAGCTGCAATAATCTCCCCGTTTTGACACATGTGCTTTATCTCGTTATATAATTGGCCTAATACGCTCAGACCTCAATATAACAATGTCACATATGCCACGAAAATACTTCGTTATATCCAAAAATTTGTTATAGACGATTTTTGTAACATTGTGTCAATGGCAAAACTATTGGTCATTTACTTCGCAATAACCAATACAGTTAAACCTGCTTATAGCGAACCTCCATATAACAAATTCCTTGATATAACGAAGTTCTTTAATTCCCCGCTGTTGCTCCATAGAAGTACATGTGTTTGCGACCTCTATGTAAAAAGTAACAGTGCGAGGCAACCTTGATATAACGAATATTCCCCACAAACAATTGAATTTCGTTCCGCATTTTGGCACGTGCATGTTTCTTCCGCGGCTGCCCCGCTGCCGACAAAGCACGAAGCGGCGTTGGTGGGCAGGCGGGCCTGCATCCCACGAGCCGGCTTTCTTGCCGTTCTCGTCGCCGTGCTCGCATGCAGGGTTGTGCCGCCTCGCTCCAAACCAAAATTAAGAAAACACTACTTTTGCACGTTAACAGTGCCACGCTTTTAGTTGACCTCACATATATCGGGCTGCGCTGCATATGGAGGGCGCTTTACCGATTAGTTTTCTGCGGTAACTGTGTCTGTGTCGTTCGCAATTCGCTTTCCCCGCCATGCGCGCATGCATAGTTTCACTGCGCACGCATGGTGTGGCTTCCTACGTCATTCAGCTTAGCTTTTTTTTTATTGCAATAGCAATTATGTATATGGATAGTTTCGGCTGGTTTTTTGCCTTCACCGCTGTCATTCATGTATCTATATATATCTAAAAACTCCAGAATGGGGGCAAAAAGAAAAGGCACCTGTGCTCGACGCTCAGCTTGGCGCATTGCGCTTATCTCCTACGTGTACTTTGCCCCGTGAATGGGGGTTTAGATGCTTGTGCGGGCGCGCTTATCCTTCGGTGGGGAGAATCCCATGCCTTCGACTTTGACCGGGGAATGACTGGGTTTAGTTGCCGGGCAGACGAAGATCACTTCGCTTGCTGGACAGGCGCCGTTTGCAAAAAGAGTGTGCTTTTCAAACACCTCGAAGTAACAACTGGGGCACTTGTTAGTTCACACTCGTATCTGTACTTGTGATTACGTTTCGTGCCTCATTTTCGTTTAAACAGCGCGTTAAGTGCCGAGAGGTAATCTTTGTTAGTTCCATCTCGTCCTGTTTATGTTGGTTGTTTTAGCAAGGGGGGGGGGGGGGGGGGTACCTGTACGGGTTGTCACCACCTCCCTCTTGCCGAAACTTCGAGCGAATGACGCTCTGACGTCCATCACTCCCAAAAAAAAAATATTCCATGTGGAACCGTACATTAACGCTTCACCACAACGTGCATTTTATATGTTGAGATAGTCAACACAGGACATTTTTATTTTTTATGGACTTTTTGAGCTCTGAAATTTGTTCCGGAAAGTAAGATGTCACTTTCATCTATGCCACCTTTCGCATGAGTGAAGTACAAGTTTCAATGCACTGTTTTCATTATGAAGGCTCATTAAAAAATTTAGTTTGCACACTGAACATCTTTCAGAATAAATACTAGTATTTGAGACACTTTGGCACAGTGCTTTGTATTATAAGGGTTAATGAAAAAATTTGTTCATGCGCTGAACATAATTGCGAGAAAGCCATTTTGGCTTTTCTTGTGTCCTAAACTTCAGTGTCTGGGAACACCACAAAGAAAGGAAGTGTTCAGCTGCATGTCGAGCAGGAAATGTTTCCGTGGACTGACACTGGGTGATACATGTGCCTCATATATAATCTTGCAGACTTTGTTAGGCAGCTCTGTGTAGGCAGGGTTTCAAGATAACATACTTCGAACTGTGGGGTGATTGAGGCCTGCCTATCTGGAAGTGCTTTTAAAGTCTGTACAATCTGGATCAGAGAAAAAAAGGAACGACGCAGAGAATAAATTTTTGATCTTATGAAGGTAAATTGTGCTTGTCTAGCCGTTTTCATTCTTATCGTACAAGTCTGTTATACTAATAGCATAAATTCTCTAGCCAAGTTATAGTCCAAACATAAATGATAAGGACTGTGCACTGACCGACCGTTTTAGGACCAATTCGGTCCCTTCTTCAGGGGCGACTGCTTGGTTGGCTCTAAAGCTCGCAATTTTTCTTGGCAGTGTCGCCCTCTCCATTTCCTCTCCAGCGACAGTTTCCTGGCCTACTTAAATTCGATTGAGCCAGTGATTCAATTCACCGTGGAATGTGAAAAGAATGTTCTTCCTTTCCTGGATGTTCTAGTAAAAGGGCAAAAAAAAAGGGGGGGGGGGGGGTAGAGATTGACGTTTGAGCTTCGCCGTATACAGGAAACCTATGCACACCGGATGGTATCTGCAGTACACTTCTAACCACCCGACCGCACACAAAACATCAGTGGTAAAGACACTTCTGAACTGCGCAGGGGTCATCTGCAGCTCCAAAAAAATGTGAAAGAAAAAAGCGATCACCGCCAACCTGCTGGACAATATATACCCAAAAAGCTTTATTCGTCGAGTACGCCAGCGACTTGGCTACTGCAAAACTGCCCCACACCGGCCTTCTGCGAAGGATGATCCTAACAATGAGGGCCATCTGAAACAACCCTACCGTATCTCTGCCCCATACGTGCCAGTAATCGGGGAGCAGTTGTCCAGGGTACTAAGGAAAGAAGGCATTCATGTGGCGCACAAACCCGTCTCAACAATTGGGCGATTCTTGCCTTGACCAAAAGACCGTCTGCCGAAAGAGAGGTTCTCCGAGCTAGTCTACGAAATTCCAGTGCAGCAGACTGTCCTGCCAATCTCCATCGGTGGGACAAAAAACTTCCCCGAAAGGATACGACAGCATCGAAAGGATGTGCGTAACCTCAATGCTGCACGAAACGCGCTCGCCTGAACACAGCGAAAAGATGGACCACATGCATCAATTTCGACGACGCCCTGGGTAATCAACAAGGAGTGTAGCCACACAAAAAGACAGTTTTAGAGTCCTGGCACATACAAACAAGTCCTGGAAATGTTAACCTCTCAACTGGAACCTTACCCAGTGTATACATGCACGGTCTACAGAACCAGTTGAGAAGACACCACAGCAATAACAATGGTGGAAAGAAGGATGAAGGAGAGGGCGACACCGCCAAGAAAAATTCCGAGCTTCAGAGCAGAAGGGATCGAATTAGTCCAGAAACGTCGGGTCAGTGCACAGTCCTTACCTTTCATATTTGGACTATATCTTGGCTGAAGAATTTGTTATTAGTATTAAAGTTCACCCAGCCAGACAGATATCTGTCAAAGATGTTCACCTTTAAGTCTGTTATAGTTTTCCTTCAAATATCTTAATGTGAGCTTTATAGCATGACTAATCAGTGGAAAGGAAATCAAAAGTACATGGGTTAGTGAAGTGACTAACATGGGCTCTGTGTTCATAAAAAGGACTCGGCAAGCCTTGCAGTTATTTTCATACTATCAAGTGGCAAAAATTGAGGTTGCTTCAGAATCGGGTAAGCATAGTACTGTTCTTTCTGTTGCACCCACAAAAACCTTGGAAATTGTCTTTTAGCATTTGGTTGTACGACCTGTTCAAGGGCGTAACAGCCGTCTTGACCATGTTCTCATATAACTCTTAACAAGAGTTTACTTTGTTCTCTTTGTTCTTCAACAGAAATGCATAGACATTCTAATTGAGAAGGAGTACCTCCAGAGAGCAGATGGTCAGAAGGACACATACACCTACCTTGCGTGAAGCGCCAAGTCCGGCTGGGTGGAGAGAGGCAGGTTCCTTAAAAGCCAAGTGACAGGGCGTCGAACCATGAAGACGTTCTTCCGAGCTAAGTCGAAACAAAGGCCTACTACTGCCGCCACCTCCTCTTGTATATGTGCTGTGCCGAGAAAGAGGGCAAGGTTTTTGTCTTAGGGGGAGGGGCAGGTGAAAAACAAGAGCTGTGTGCTGGCTTGTCTTTCGAAAAGACCTCTCCGCACACCCAGTCACGTGAAGAATGGTGTAGATCCTGCCAGGTTACTTTTATCGGATGCTCTTTCCCCCATCCCACTGTCCGCCGCAACCACTGCAACTGGAAGAAGGAAAAAGCCGGATGCCTCTGTGTCGACCCACCAGCCGACTTCTCGCAAGGTACTTGCCCGTGTCTCAAAAGTGACTCAACATCACACCGCCACTGCCGAAGAAGGCGGACCATGGTGGATGCCGTAACGTGCTGCCACCTCTTGTTTTATTTGCTTTTCACACTGAGAGGACTTCAGCGGCATGAAGGACTTCAGAAGGGTGGGCAAGAAAGAGAAAACCGAAAAGGGAAACCGAGGGCCTCTATTGTGACTCAAACACATGCTGTTGTTCGCCAATGTTCGTCACTAGTGAGTAAGGTGCATGTGAAATGTGTGTGGTGCGCGCTGCCAGTGGGCAGCGGCAGCGGCACCCTAGGAACGCTCTTCGCCTATTGGCATTTGTTGCAGCAGGCAGCTTCCCCCCCTCCCTACCCTCTACTTTTGTGCATAGGCCTGGTGACAACTTGGAACTTTGAAACAAAATAGTGTGCAGTGCTACGACCCTTTCTTTTTTTTTTTTTTCATGTAACCCGCATTTTTTTTTTGTTCTTTGCTGTCCTTTGCTCGCATTTTTTTACTCTGCCACCCAGCCCCTTTCTCGTCGCTGTGTTCTTGTTTCCCTGCCTATGTCTACGGCATTCTCTGCAGGGTCATCGTCCCTATGTGTTGCCTCTGTATCACTACACCTTTTTGTAGGGCCACTATCTCATGGGTCTCAACTGTAATCCCCTCTCTCTCTCTCTCTTTTTTTTTTCAGTGAACAACACAATTACAAAGGAAAAGAAAAAGAGCATGTTACGAGGGCTTTGATATCATAATTCTCTTGTGATAGCGGCAACAGTTTTTTGTTGTTGCACTCATGTAGGCGCCGCAGCGTGCTCTGAGATGCATTTTTTATTTTTTTATTGTTCATTTGTTAGTTGGCCTATTTGCTTTTTTTTTTTTCTCTCTCTCTCCTTTTAGAGGTGTTGCAAGGGAGGCAGTGTTGCTACTTTCGAGCGTTTGCCCCATAGTTCAGTTTCTCTCGTGGGTTGGGAGAATGGCTGTTTCCCTTATTTTATTGATGTGCTCCTCCATCAAGGTGGTCAGGTGCCTTGTTTTTCGTGCAAAGCAACAGATGCCTCTCCTGGAAATGCCGACTGCCGTGTGTACAAGAGTGCTGAAATCTGGGTCACGAGGAGCAATAAAAGAAAAAAATGCACTAAATGTCGTTTACTGTTGTTCTGATATAGCTGCATTCACATACTTGTGTTTCGTGCTCATTTTGTTGCACCAAGAAATCGTTACATGACCAAAACATGCGAAAACATTGAAGTAAATTACGCACAGAATTGTGCTATTCAGTTCTGTTTTGATGTGATAATGTTAAAGAGCACATTTTTCAAAAATTTGGCGTTGGACTTGCTGGTCGTGTATGAAAAATCCGCGTGCGTGAGCGAGAATTCGAGGTCGGTGCAAGTGAATTGAAAAACCACCCATTATGCATTTGCCGAAGACAATTCTAAGGTGAAAGTAATCTTTTCTTTTCCGTCGATTTGTTCATTCTCTTGCACCTCACTCCAAAATCTTTTGGCACCTAACGTGATATTGCACAGCTTCTAAGGTTAGAGGCGCTGCAAGTTTTTTGCACCTCGACTGTTTTTAAAGGGGCCCTGAAATGCTTTTTCAAGTAACCACGAAATGAATTCACCATAAAAGCTTATTGCCTCACGAATTCAACGCCGCAGAAATTTTAAAGATTCGTCCGGTACGAGTGGAGTTACAAAGGTTTGTCACATGCTGCAATTGCATTCTCTGTTCTCTCGTCCCAACTAAAGCGCTGGAAGCTAAGCAGGGAGGGACGATCTCTGTTACGAGCGAGCGCGCCATGTTCAAATCGGCCATTGGCTGATAGATGAGTAATTCGCGTGTGATTTTTGGGCATATTCCACCATTTGTCTAGAGAAGAGAAAGCAATTTTTAGCTGGCTTTGATAATTTATTGTGACTTCCAGGCTGTTTGCTGTGCTATAGCATTTGGCTCACGTGTTGTCGGGAGCCTCTACTACCGATCGGCAGCGTTTTCTGACCATGCTCAAAAAGTGTTGCAGGGCCCCTTCAACTTGATATCGCTAGAGAGCTCGTTTTGCAGAAATTTTGGGGTCTGTGTCAGCGTTGTTGGTTGTGAGAAAAAAAGTCGAGAATCTCAACTTATTCATCTATTCAAGCAACAAATTACTCATACTACATGTCGTGGAAATAATTTTCGCTATGTTATGAGCTACTATTGGCAACGTCGGAGCACAGACTTTGCAGAGGATAGACGTCGCAGCACTACCATAGGAGAATTCTATGTCTACGCCGTGCCCTCATGCTCTGGGCATGCGCCCGCGAAAGGAAGGGAAAGCAGCGTTCATCTTGAAATTTTGTCCATTTTCGCGACACTTAGTGTTGCAAATTTTGGCAGACGTGATCGTGAACGTCCCATGTATGCCTTTCACTCATCAGCTCGAAGTTGTCAAACCTGGTGAGGGGCCCTTTAATACCACATAGTGGGTGCATAGCAGGCTCAAAAATACTTGGCGTGCATAATTGCCTGATGGTTTAAAGCATGCTGCCCATTACAGAGAACGCAGTCAAATGTGAAAGCTTTACTTACACAAGCCACTTTCAGCTTTATCGATTGCATTGAGTAATCCACTATTTAAACTTCTTGAGTGACATCGTAGAATGAAGAGTATGCACTATGTGTTTGAAGCATGCACTGAGACAGGATATTGCTACTTTTAAAGGCGAAGCTGAAAGGTCCCCCGATTTTTTGCACTACCTCAGTGATCAGCATGCCCTTGACTAAGCGACAATGTCATGTGATCGTGTGAAATGATGATGTAGCAAGTTTTGGTGATCTGTGACCTCATGGCGTCGCCATATGGTGACATCGTGTGATTTTTTGCATCACTCGTGTTGGCTCTGCCAGTGCTCGAAGTCAGTTTTCACACTGAATGGTTCGTCTAGGGCTTTTGTGATAAAATCTTCGTTTCAAGTTTGAATAAAACTCATAATTTCTGCATAGCTAGCAGATGTTCTCAGGGCCACATTAGTGCTTGAAGTAGTTCTTGGAAGAAAAAATACCTATGGCAATGTCATGTAGGAGCCTCCCCTAACTCCTTTACAGTGCAGCAGCAGAAGCATAGAATCTTAACAGGTGTCAAAATGTGATGGAACTAGCACATGGCTTAACCGTCCTTACATTGTGATCAGGTGTAGTCAAGTCATTATCAGGAACATCAACAAAGTGCGAAGTTGCACGTGCTGCCTTACATATGCAGAGTATATACAGTCGCCCAAATGTTTAACTGTCGTTCGCGAGTGCCTATCTTTTCGGTCTATCTTTGCCATGTTACTGGATGAAGTTCCAAAAAGAATGAAGGCAACTGCGCGCCCACTAACCACAGTGCGCTCAAAACAGTTTTTTGGAACTTCATCCTGCCATGTGAAGCTGGCACACAGAAAAGGCTTAGCCGTGCACGATAGCTGTTAAAGGTTTGGGCAACTGTACTTTGTGCCAATTCGCAAAAGAAAGAGGTACGCCGTAGTGGGCCCTTCACAGCTGCACTTGCGCTGGGTATTCTTGGATAGTTGGAAGCCGTCAATTTTAAGGGCACAGAGTAAGCCGAAATTTGAAAAAAAAAAAAAATCAATTTGGATAGGGTGGCCCTTTATATATTCTTCATTTATGCTTTTCCTGAACAGCATTTTTGTGACTGAAAACATTGTTACGCGAAGCCAGTCGGAGCCAAAAGTATGAAAATCAGACAAATCCATGGACTACCCATTATTACAATGCTCGCTGAAGTGCCATGCATTGCAGCTCCCATACACGCTAGCACCAGAGTTCCCTCTAGTGTATTATCAGGAAACTCTATGGCTGAAAACTAGCTTTTCTAAAAGCTTGTAGTGAGTGAACATGCATACTAGGGCCAGCCCCTCGTCTGCACTGCGTGCTTACGGTGCTTTTTTTCTAAAAAGAACTTTGTGTACAAATGTCATAATGCTTGTCTGCAGTCATCTGTGTTTGAGAAATGGTCAGGTAATTTCTAAGGTAGTCCGAAGACACTGTGCGTCGTTAGATTCGTACTTGGTCTTCGGAGCACATCAATTCGAACACTTTCAGCTCCTAGCTTCATTAGAGTAGTGCTTCTTGACAACCTGAGATGCAAAGGGTACAAAAGATCTTAAGCAAGTATGAATTTACAATTGAGTACAATTCTTTTGAAAAAGTGAATAAATGTCGTTGATGCTCTAAAATTCCGAGTGTTGAAGGAGCAAGCTTTTGGATCGTGGAACTACTCACCCTTTTCAGCGTCCCTGATGGGAATTCCATCACGGTGGCAGCGGGTATGCTCTAATGGACATGAACATTTTATTTGTGATGCAATAAGACCTAACAGAGTGCAGACTGCCCGACGTCAGTGTTGAGCTAATGGAAGTTGCATTTCACAGTCTTTGCTGTCTTGTTTAGGTTCAGAATCCTGTGACTGCGTCATCGGATGTTATTCCATTTAATGATGGCACTATCGCACAAGCCAAAATTCTTAAACGGTTAGTATTGATGTCTGGACCAACTACAGTCGCTGCTGGAAAATTTTGACCAAAATCATCGATACATTGTGGATACAGTTGCATGACAGCTCACAAATCAAGCAGGGCAAGCAGTGCGAGATGCTCCAAACTGAAATATTGACTTTGGCAATGATATCAAGATTTTAGCTGTCTAATAGTGGAACAGTGTTTGTGATGAAGTATATTTGTTTTTCAGTGGTTCTCTATCTTTAAAATTGATTATCTCATAACCATGTTTTTTTATTACTTAGATACCATAATTTCCTATGTATTCTGAGATATCCAGTTGATTATAATTTTTTTTGTATTCTGCATAAATGCATACAGCTAACAGTTTTTGTGTTACAAGTTTCATAGATGCCAATTAACTCAAAGTTTAGGTCCCAGTGGTGAAAATTTTACCAAAAATTGAATATTAGTCGAATTCAAATAAACCTACTTCAGTTATAAGAGCAAAAAATTGTGGAACAAAGTTATAGATTATGTGAATTTCTTCTTTTTTTTTAGTTGCTGAGAAAACATTTTCTCAATACGGCCAAAAATGCTTGGGACGCATAGTGCTCACCCGGTGCCCTTGAGTGCATAAATGTTTCTCTCCTTACAGCTCAATATATAGCTGTCCTGCAAGAAGTGAAAGCTAGTCTAGTAATTGAGAAGGCAGTGCAAACAGAGCCTGCTTGTGCTATCGTGATTTACCCCTGAAGGCTGAAGCTCAAGCATCCCCACAGCGAAAGCTATCATGCGATCACTACACGGGTCGCCTACGTGTCGTAGTTGTCCTCTGCCGCTGGTGCCTATAACCATTATTGCATGAAATAAGAAAGAAAGAACTCTCTAAATAAAAAGCGCCAAGGACACAATAGGATTCGCACCTGGGTCCCCTGCATGCCAGCCCAGTATTCTACAAGTGAGCCACGCCAATGCTTTGAACTCCTTAGCAAACTCTCCTTAGGCAGGCTTGATGTCAGGAGAGGAATCGTGGTAATATGAGTAATAAAGCGTTTTAGGACAGCAAAGGGAATTGTGCGAAGACGATGCGAATAGTGCAACGAGTGCATCGCCAAATGATTCAATCCTTTACAAAAGCTTGATCTGTTCACCTGTTAACTGTGGGGCATACCCACTGTTGGGGGTTATAGGGATTACAAAAGCTTGTGGCATAATTCTTGGTTGTCAGCCACAACACAAAAAAAAATTGCACGAAGTTCCTCGCAAGTGTGCAGAGTGTACCACGGTCATCTCAGGAACCACGAAGGGTAGAATAGTGAATGCTTGCCTACTACACAATAATGACGTAGGTGGTACCCTGCAAGTGTGCTTGCAGCGGCTACCCAAAGAGTGTTATAAATAGCTCTGAAAGGCTGCTCTTTCAAGCTTACGCTGTGACAGTGCTGTGTGTTCCACACAAGCCTGGCTTTTTTTTTTTTCGTGTAGAAGCTGTTCATAAATTTCAATAGTTTTCAAGCAGTAGTGATTTGTTATTTAAGATGATGTTCTCACACTAGAGTATTAAACGATTTGTGCATTGTCGAAAAGAAGCACTGCTGGACACCGACAATTTTCCTTGCCTGTGAGTGCTGCCCAAAAGAACGCCCGATGAGACATTGACTCTTCTCCATGCATTACTTCATTTGAAGTTTGTGCACACGGTTCTTTGTCACCATATGAAACAAAAGGTGTGCGGTGCTCAAAGAATAAAACGTAATGACTTAGCACTAAATAGCCCATATGCTTTTGTTAACACTGTATTTAGTTTTTCTTGCATCAGCATTTTACTGTCTTTTACACTAGCACCGGAGCTATGACCTCTTCTACTGGTGAGATTTGTAGTGACGCGATGTAGCCATTTTTAGCAATCCTTGTGCACTGTGCAATATCTTTTGCATGACCTGTGTAAAGCCAGTGTCACGCAGTGATATTGCATCTGTCATCTCTGACAATGATTCCAAAAGCGAGGAAGTCGTATACCAAGCTTGGAATTTTATTTCAAGAAGTCGAAAAGGGTGAGGGGGGTCAACTGCATTTGCTTTCATGAGCCCATGTCAAGAAAAATGCAGTGTCAGCAGTACTGTGTGAGAGTGAGAAATGCTGATGTGTGTACAGAATAGAAACCAAGCTTCAAGTCGACAATGAAACCAGGCCTTTTGTGTGGCACTCAGGCTTTCTGCTATTAAGATGAGCGGCTGCTCGAAACTGCTTTTGAAAAATAGTGCTTACGGGCGTCATGTGGGGTGTGTGGTCAAATACAATGCTGCTTATCATAATAGTAAAATTGTATTGGGCTTCATGCCTTGTGGGCTGCTTAAGAAATGCTAAAGGCAAATATTTAGCTAACGTTGATTGTTGGAATAGTCCAGAAACTTCATAGTGCTACTTTTGTGGCAAGGAATCGCTTATTTTGAAATAAAATTGCATTTTACTGTTCTGCACAGCATTAGGGCTCTTCAAATCACCAATCTGATTGGGCCTTCTGACGTAGCAGTTGCCTTGCCCAACGTTGCCCGCCTAGCAAACTGGTATTTGCTAGGCATCCAGCCTGAATTCTTGTAGGATGGACACTGAAAAGAAGCACCATGAAAAACATTACAAAGCTTGTTGTACTTGAGTGCAATCAGTGGTTGTGTTCAAATGTATATATATATATATATATGTATATGATAAGCATGGTGTTATCATCCACCTAGTTACCAGGTGAAGTTGTAACTGTCCTACTGCGTATATTATTCTTCATAAATATCTCCAGATGCAGGTTAATTATATTTAAAATTATGAGTGCATTTATAGCCAATAAATTTAGTCGCATGACATTGATGTAGCGCAATTCTATTGAGTGGGAAAGGGGGAACCGCTGTGGTGAACAAATGTTTCTAGCTATGTACTTGGCAAGGCTGAAAATAATTTGGCAGGATTATGGCTAGTCACATAAAATTTAGCTCTCATTTCTGAAAGCTTAAAATAGGTCTTTTATAGCTTAAAAAAAATGCTGGCAGGCATCACACTAATTTGGAATAATATAGTAATTTCTGATGTGAATCACATTGTAGTAACAATCACAATTTGCTATAAGAGTACACTTATTTACTATAACACTTGTTCCTAATAACAAACCTTTGTGCACTACTTTGATATAACACTTGTTCCTAATAACAAACTTTTTTTTTTACATTGGAAAGTTCAGGTCATCTTGGAAAGTACACTGACAACCATCAAAGCAACCAAGACAGCTCAATTAAGTCAGTGTCACTTGGGTACTGAAAGGCCAACTCCGGCGATTTTTCTGTCATGTCAAAGTAATGGTGTTACTGTGTTCCTGAGACACTCTTGTCATAAGTCCAATTGGTGAAATGCTCGGGAAATGTGAAATTAATTTCTTATGAGCAAAAAAGTGCAATACTGAAACCCAGCCGGGTGCCCTGTCTGCGTGTGACGTATTATTTGATAAGAACTGGAGGCCGTATACTGCTCCCACTGGTGCAGAGTATGAAAACTGTGAAAGCCAGACTAACGAAGCACCAGCCAAACACCACAGAAGAAGGAAGCAAGCTTTCCTGCACCAAACATTGCCACTGTCGCCTTGTGGCCAACACAATAAATGCTGTAGCAGCCACAGCAGCGATGCCATCGGCTGTAGCACTTCCGTCACCTCCGTGACTTCTGATGACATGCCAAACATGAAGTCACACAGACAGTGTTGCCAATACTTCTCGCAAGTGAGGTGAGCTTTTCGATGCAATCTTTAAAATTCATTTGTGAAGAATCGGCATGTTTCTCAAGCCTGTATTTTGGCATAAATGACGAAAATGTGCAAAGAAACGTACAAGGTGACGATAGTTATAGCGCGAGAACAAAACGACGACTCAGAGACAAGAAGGACACGAAAGACACGAGCGCTACTTAGAAGTGTGGCAGCTTGGGCTAGTTGTCTCTGTGTCGTCGTTTTGTTCTCGCGCTATAACTATCGTCATGCCATACCAACTAGCCCAAGCTGCCACACTTCTAAGGTACAAGGTGAATTTCATTCAAATTCATTGACCTCAAAAAATTGCCGGAGTTGGCCTTTAAGTATGCATCAGTATGTTTTCAGCCTTCGTGCAGCCATACAGTGACTCACTCTGTTCTTGCAATCATTGCGGACGCACATGCAAGTAGAGCTACGAGAAACAAAATGAAGTATAGCACATGCTTATCTTTTGTGAGCGCTGTCATTCCAGCTAGTCCTGTAGCTACTTACTGTCAGCCAATTTCGCTCTGTATGATGCCATCACAGTAGAGTAGAATCCTGTTAGCAATGGAACCTGAAGGTACTGGGAGATGTGCTGTGCAGGGCCTGTAGCACTGTACGTCGTAACATCCTAAAGCAGTTTTCAGAAAAGTGTCAAAAAAGTTATCTATATTACACAATATCTACGATATCATAGTTATCTGTGGTGATTGCAATACATGCCCTGTACTAAATATACTTCAATTATTACTGATATAATTTCTTGCAACCGACTTTTTAAAGGTATCACTTACCATATAAAATAGACATTAATTAATCTTGAAATCCTCATTCTTCCTTGAAGAAAAAAAAAAAGCCTTTTGCACATTACATTTCTGTCTGCGTCTTTGGGCAAAAATAAAAATGTTCCTGAAAATGAGCCTGAGAATACCACTGCAGGTTCCGAGGTCAGTACCATGCCTTGGTATGGGCACTCTAAGGGTGTTGAGGTTTTCACAGTAGTCGAAACATATGAAAGAGGCAACAAGAACTTACTTCCTGAGTGTGTCTATGTCATTGTTCAAAAGTTGCCAAGGAAAAATAAAAAGAGCACCTAAGTGGTGCAAGTGCTTATCAGATAACATTTAATGCACAGAACTGCCAACAAGATAGTGCTTTTCCAATGTTAGCACTTCTGTGCTCTCTACACTAACGCGCAATAATAATAAACACTGAATCGGCATTCAACCAACATTCTATAAGCATTAGCTTGAGGTGAAGCCGTATAAAAATAGACTTGCACAATTTGTAAATGCGAAGTGTCTTTTATACCCCGCACAACTTCTGCACATTTATGGTTTTACTGCAAGTACTGCATGCACGATACACTGCACCATCAAGCAGACAAATCGCATGCCAGATATTTTTACACAGCCTTTATTTCCAGACTCTTACATGTTGGCAGAGAAACAATAGGATGGTGCCAGTGACAAGCCTTCACCATGAAGCTGAGAGCGTACACACTTCGAAAAAACATTGCAAATGAGTTGAAAGTGTTCAAATCTGTGCAGTGACGTGCACCACATACTACAACAGAGGCAGTCTAAGCAAAGAAAGAAAATGTTTTAGTGGTGCAACTACAAGCTACAAACTTTACTCCAACACATAAAAACGGCAAGCTTCTTTTGCCAACTTAACAAAAAAGAAAACACGCACTGCATCTACGTGAATATAAAATTGCCCGACAATCTGACAATCTCTTTCCAAGCACAGATAAAGACACTAGTGGTTGCGCAGTCAAGAACATAAAGAATTTATGACTTCCAGAGTATACATTTTCCAGCTTGACAGGCATAGCAGAATTTGAGGTTTCTTTACCTAGCATTTAGACATTCTGTGCATACTTGTGCTAGTAAAATTTTTTGCTAAACAAAGGTGAAGGCAGGCAGTATGATGGCATAGAAATGTTTAAATAGAGACTCCTATTGGTAAGACAAGAATATAATGTTAACAGAAGATATGAAACCAATAAAGGAGGTGCAAAGCATAAAGATAAATTTAGTCGAAAGAACACATGAAAGGACGTGCCGTTGGAGGGCCATCCACAGCTGTCGTCGTCGACCAGCTCTCATCGTTGGCGTTGACGAGTTCTTCAATGACTTTCTGGATGTCTCCCGAATATTTCTTTAGCAGGACTGAGTTGAGCTCTCGGTTCCTGAAACCCATCTCGAAGAGCCTGCTCTCAGTTGCAGGGTGTGCCGGCGGTGACCAGTGCGGTGAGCTCATTCGCTGCCTCTCTTGCTGGATTCCCGTGAAGACGGTCTTGGCTGTATTGAACACTGTGGCTGCAGCATTTAAGGCTCCATTGACGAGGGCTTCTGGGAGTGCATCACCAACTGCTTCCACTTTGTAGTGCTTCCGGGTCGAAAAAGCTGGCTTCGTTGCTGCCCTGGCAGTATCTTCACTGTTGCTGGTCGACGAGCTGGCGTCATTCCGACTCTCGCCGCGATCAGAAGGCCTCTTGATGTCTGCTGCACTTGTCTGGGTTGTCGCAGTGGACGAGTTTGACATGTCAGACTCGGTCAGCGGATCTCTGAACCGGAGAGGCAAGGCGGGAGTACTGGCATTCTCTCCCTCATTATCACTGTATCCCTGTGGAGGGGCAACGGCAGACGAAGACATGCACTGCAGTGGATCACAGTAGTTGCACTTGGGAGGCTTGGCAATCACCTCGCAAGAAGTCGCTGTGCTCTGCAGGGTAGATTCACTTCTTTCCACTGTGCACCTTGGCTCTGGGAGATTGAAGGGTATGTTGAGATTAAAGCAAGATGGCAGTGGCACGACTTCGAAGTCTGCCTCTGTCTCGACGCTGCTCAGGCTGAGCACACTGGCAGACTCTTCAGTGTCGTGAAGGATTGGCATGTCCAGGATCGACATGTTTGAACCGAGAGTTGCTACGCGACACTCTTCCACCTCTGTGGGTTCGGGGGACTTGCGAGGAGTTACCGCAGCTGGAGTATTGAAAGGGGTTGCAGTGTGCGACACAATGTTGGCTTTGAGTCCAGTGGCGAAATCTTCTGGCTTGAGAGTCGATTCGTGGCAGAAGTCGTCATCTGCTCCGGCAACTACCTTGAGGCTGGACATGTGCTTCTGCTTTGGCTCAAGGGTGAGAGCAGGGTCCACGACTACGTTGCACCACAGTCGGTGGCCAAAGTAGCCCTGTGGACTGAACATCCTCCAGTGGGTCTGGTAGTGGCCGGGCTCATGCGGTGCCGTGAACTGCACTTCCAGCATGCCTTCTTCGTTCGGCAACAGTCGAGGCGCTTCTATGTCCGTGTCGTTAGGCATAAGTCCTAGAGTGCCCCAGCAATACTTGAGGAGGATATTGTCGTTCCAAGCTCGGTTTCCCGAGTTTCGCACTTTCCATCGCTTAGTGAAGCGCGTTCCAGGCTGCACGTGCGTCCAGTCCGGGATGGTGTCGTCGCAGACGAACTCGGAATCGTAGGCGTCGGGATTCAAGTAATTCTCGGTACTCGACGACGCGCCAGGCAGTCTGTAGATGTTGCTGTCCCTGAGATTATACTTTTCCAGCTTCTTCATGAGCTTCTGCATTTTCATCTCTTGCTTCATTTCCCTGATGGCGGAAGCGCGATTCGGCGATCGTATTGGCCGAAAGGTGCAGCCATTGGAGCGCTTGCGACGCGGAACCTGCTGCTGCGAGCCGGCCAAAGGTTTGCGAATCTTCAGCATCGCGTGAGAGCTGTCGTGCACGCTGGGCAGCGATTCGCACACTTCGCACAGATCGTAATTCGGGCAGATCCAGCACCTGTAGCGGATTCCCTGAACCTGACAGCGGCAATTGCCGCACGTCGGTGCGTCCGGGAATGGGTCGGCCGCCGCCGTCCACTTGTCGACCTTGCGCTCGTCGAGCCGCTTGAAAACCTCTGCCGTAACTTCATCCTTGATCTCGTTCCTAAGCGTTCGCACAAAGTCGACGAACCAGGCTGGTGGGCTTGTACCGCTGTCACCTGCGTCGGATCGTGCCTCAGCGGACGAGGCCTCCGGGGAAGCGACGCCTGGTGCAACAGACGCGTCACTCTGCTGCGTCTCCGACGCGTTGTTGTTTCCGCCAACAAACACGAACTCCCCAGAAACGCTGCCCGAGTTTTGGGGGCTGCTTAGCTGCTGTGCACCAGGCCAGTCTTCTTCTGTGATCTGTACCTCTAGTACGTTGCCTTTCTTCTCGGCAACGCGGATCGCTTCTTGCATTTCGGGCTCCGAAGAAAGGTGCACCCTCTCGTCCTCATCATCGGCGTACGTTATGCGGACGGCGGACGCAGTCGGGGACAAGCCACAGCCTTGAAGCAGCGTTTGCTGTACTGTAACCCAGCTGGAGTCACTCGGCAAACTCAGTTGAAACCGTGTGGGACGTGGCGTGAACTCCACAATGAAGCGAGTCTCAGCCATGTTCGCATAATTTTCGTCATCAACGAGTGCAGCTGATATGCGCATTTTCCTGTCCGCCTGCCTAGCCAGGATTTAACTATGACGTCATGACGAAGGCGTTTACCGCCAGGCCGCGCATGACGCGAAATGCACCGCAGCGCCACTATGCCTCAGTTTCGATTTCGGTTAACAGAAACGGCCGAAAAGAATCGCGCTCGAGTTTGGTGAACAAATTACATGCGGTTGAGGTTATCTTATACTACGCCTGAGTCGCGTGCTGCATTACTGCAGGGTAAATAGCCACTTTTCATTAAAAAAGTCTTGAACACAACTCAAAATTAGCTTGTAAAAAGAAATGCAGCAGCAAACTGGATCTGGCGAAACCTGTAAACCTAACAAACTTATAGAAGACACTTACACTGTACAGGAAGCTTTATTTGCGTGTTATTCAATTTTATTAACATTACATATGTGCTTCTATCATACAGCTATTATACTGCCGTCACGTCGGGATCCCGGCTGTCCAGGGCTGCCATCTTCGCGAAAACCAGCGCTTCATACCAGCTTACAGCTTCTGGTGTTGCTAATACTCTTGTTCCTGTTAGCATCGTTGCGTATGTGCAAACAATAAACATCTGCAACTGTTCAACATATGTCTTCGCGTGCAACATTCGTACATATATTTAGCGTCATTTAATGACGTGTTACTCGATAAAAAAAAATACAACGTGGTCACCTTCCCTCCGCATGCTTCGCATATCGTCGATTCTGTTTGCACGTGGGGTCTGCCGAGTTTTTCGCTTAGCATCCGTATAAATGCACCCGCAGCTGCTGGGGAGAGCATTTTTTATATTGCCGCCTAGAAGAAGTACGCATGTAGCCTCTGAGCCACTTGTGTCCTGCAGGTTACGCAGCATAAGTGGTTGAAGTCAACAAAGACACGACATATGGACAATGGTTGCAACCTAATCTTAACAAGTGCAAGGTGAGTATTCATACCTAAATCGTCGCACGTGGATGTACCGTGGCAACTTCGGAATTTCACACGCGTTGGGAAACATAATGAAGTAAAAAAAAAGAACGCACTCTTATTAAGAATCGCGAAGAAATGGTAATTCCTTGGTGGTCAAGCACATTATTTTGATAGCTATGTTGATTAGAATTATCTTTGCAAGGTATATGCATACCAAGTTCGTATACGCCCCGCCACGGTGGTGTAGTGACTAAGGTACTCGGCTGCTGACCCGCAGGTCGCGAGATCGAATCCCAGCGTCGGCGGCTGCATTTCCGATGGAGGCGGAAATGTGGGCCCGTGTGCTCAGATTTGGGTGCACGTTAAAGAACACCAGATGGTCGGAATTTTCGGAGCCCTCCACTACGGCGTCTCTCATAATCATATGGTGGTTTTGGGACGTTAAACCACACATGTTAACCAATCAAGTTTGTATACAAATAAGCCAATAAGTTTTCAATTCCAAGCGCGGATTTGGTCACTGCATGCATTCCGGTCTGCATCCTCGGAGATGGTAAGCGCACGTTCCGACAAAATGCTGACATGTTTTATACGCTAGCAGGATTATTTTTGACTGGCCAAAATAAAATAGAAAAGTATTCTCCGTTTCGAACAAGGGCCGCTTCATTCAGGGTTATCCTGAACAAGAAAACTAGCAATTTGCTCAAGACTTCGTATACGTACTGCATGTGACGTTGAGAGCCTCGAAGAAATGCCCGTGTGCGGCAGGAATATATGATGACCCGAGTACATGTGGTTTGGGTGAATGTGGTGAACGCGTGCACGTACGATTTTGCTTATACCTTTGGCGAAGACTGGTAAATTTTTTCAACGTATTGGTGAAGACGTTCGGTGAAATTTTATTTGACGAGTGCGGCACATGGTGAACTAGTTCATATTGCTCCTCAGAAACGTTACAGCGCATACAAACGGTGACAGAGCGAACAAGAAACAGCTGGACACAGCACTATGCTCTGTTTGTTATTCACTCTGTTTCGGTCTGTGTGCGCTGCAACATTTTTGAGAAATTGTATGTTTTTCTGCCAAGCTACTCCCGTTCAAATTTAAAATTACATCAAGTTATTGAACTTACGTTTCATTTCAATAAAATGTAATAAAATGGGCTCCTCTGTTGCTCTAAATGTTTTCTGCACGCATCGTCCCTTTCCACCATTTGTGCTACGTCGGCGCGCTTGCAAGCAAGCTTACTGCTTCCCACATGGAATCCCAAGTGGACGCTGCTCACTTAGGAATGGCCACACTGTCCACTCGTACGCTTACGCAGGCAATTCAAGCACACGTGGAAGCCTGCAAGAAAGAAAGGTCATGAGAGCAGAAAAAGTTATTTAGTCTTCTCGCCCGCTGCACACTTCGTCACAAATCGTGGCCATGGAATGCGACGGACTCGTCTTTCCTCCACCCATGCTGCAGCTGTGATTGCGCGCCATATCCTAGCAAGAGAAGTCTCCTGTGTGTCTGCACGCAATATAAGACGAACAGGTGAAAGCCGAAACTCTGGCGCGGGGGTGGAGAATTAAGAGGCCCAGGTGCGGCTTACAGCGGATTACCAGGGACCAGCTTGTGCTCTCGGATCGTTGCGTACACCTTTTTATGCTGTCGATGCAGCCATCAGACTCTTCGCGTGGTTGCTCGCACAACAAAACCGCTTACCTTTCGCACCTTCTGTGCTTCTTTCAGTATTCACTCGTGCCTCGAGAGAATAAACCCCGGTGCTGAATGATGTGTATGCACGAAATCTGTAATGCTGTTCCATTGGGTCTTTAATGCGCGTTAAACACTTCACAGTGATAACTATATTTGATGTAATAATGAAGAGCCGTCGCATATAGGCGTGCCCAGGGTTCCTCTTCAGAGGGAAGGAAGACGAGGTTCATCGAAGTGTCCCCCCCTCCCCCGCATAGGTGACCAGAGAAAGGGCATGGGATGTTCCCCTTGCACCTCGCACACGCCTATGAGCCGTTGGGTTCTTTATATCTTTTTAAATGGGGTTCAGGACGCCGCGTTTCGGATTGCGCTTGTTTGTGAAGATTTACTCGCGTGCCTCCTCAAGCTGTATAGCTGTGCGTGGATGGATGTCTTGGTTTCTGCTTATTTTTCGACGGCGCAATGACCGTTTCTTAGTCTAAAGCATATAACCTAATGTAGATAAGTTATATCTCATTATGAGCGCACGTAGGTGCCGTTCCTAATGAAGTACAAAAGAAATGCAGTTTCAGGGTTATACAACATTAATAATTGCTGGAGTTTAACGACTCAAAACCGCCACATGATCATGAGAGACGCCGCAGTGGAGGGCTCCGGAAATCCTTAACGTCTACCTATATGTAAGTACACGCGCCTCAAACATTTCAACCTCCATCGAAAATGCGGCTGGGATTTGATCGCACGACCGGCGAGTCCAGCACCTTAACCACTATATACCACCATGGCGAGTCAGGGTTATGCAGTAATTCCATAAAACTTCGGGGTTAATTGCAACTTAAGCTACGCAAAGTAACCAACGGTTTGTGACTTTCTGAAAGGTAGAGTAGCGTAGGGTTGTATGTAATGTGTCGCGAAAAAGAAATCTTGGTTTGGCGTTCTTTGGCACAATGGGAATCGAAACCAACGGGACACACGTCACCACCGCGCAACCGTCATTTACTTCCCATCTCACTGAATGAATATCACAGTAAAAAAAAAAAAATGTTAGGATGCAACGTCCATCCCATTCAGCCAACCTTTTATGTTACGGTAGGTCGTCTGTTCGAGAGGTGTTGTCGACTTTCACCCACTGGGCAGAACAATGGTTCAATCTAGTGGCTAGCCAGAGTATGGCACACCGGGCCCCGATTTTGTTTTTCGCCATGTTATACAGAGCGAGAAATGACCATTTCAAAGAGGTTCCACCGTCCTCTCCTCCGCGACAAATTTCTATGCTCCTGGTTCAATTGTACCAATAAGAATGTCTTCCAGGGACGAAGCATCTTGAGGTCTCGGCTTGTCGGTTTGCCCTGTCGTCGTCACTGTCTATCATGAACTGGTAGGCGCCCACTAAAATTGGGTAAATACCACTATTCGCTACCGGTCCATGCTCTGCATATTATGAGTTAAGGTTCGTCGTTCCTGCCTAAGACATGTTTGGCTTAACAGTGGAGTCAAAGTCTCGATGAATTTTACCATAGCGATCGAGTTTCTTATCTATAGCCAGAGGAGGCACGAACGTGCACCTCTGCGGTTGTCATTTCATCTATTTGAAACTCCACTTCTTGGAACGTATCTGCAAAGTGGTGATGGGTCAGTGGACCGGTGGGGAGTAAAGCAGTCACGAGTAAACGTTTTGATTTGCGAAACACCGGCGCGCACTGCATATGCTTCGCCTCTCTCCAGGTTTCACGTTGTTACAGCAACTGAAACACGTGCCTCTTTCTTTCTTATTGCGCAGTGCTTCCTCTTATTTTTTTTTTTTGAAGACGGAGCCAGCATGTCTGCACCATTCCATTACATCACCAGCGATGTGTTTTCTGAGTGCACCGTCATTCCATTACGCAGCCAGGTAAGTGTTTTTCTCACATACTCTTCCGACGTCATCTGCATCTCCAGGTCGAATAACACACAAATGCAAAGCGATAACGCTGAATCGTGCCGTCAGACAGTGCAACCGAAAGAGTCGCTTATCGCTCTCCAAGCGGCCGAAGGGTCAACAAAGCATAATCACGCGCCCGGTCGTGACACACCTGTGGATTCAGTATACGGAGATGGGAGCGTCTCGGCGACATCTCGCCGAGCTTATCGCTGTCTTTTACGGCTGTGACGTCGATTTGGCAGCTCCACGGAGTGCGTATTACATTGTTGCCGGACAAACCTTTTTTTTTCTATCTTATGCAGTGACCTAGACATTGATCGCTTATCTGACCTTGTGTGTACGCAGAAAAACGGGGCTGAGTCACGAGAGGCGATTGAGTTAGGAGGTTATCGCTGAGTGCCCACGTCAGGGCTTTATCAGCGTCGCCGCACGTCATCGCGTCTTCGTTGCGCAACTGAAAAAAAGGTCACGCCCCTCCTGTACCCGACGCTTGATGGCTT